GCCACGCAAGACACTCAACAACATATACTTCGCAAACATCGCAGCAATATTCACCATCAACGTTATAGCCACAATATACCAATATTGCAGGGTATAAAACACAATTGAATGTTGTCGTGTGCTGTAAATTATGTGTTATGCAATTGCGGGGCCGTGTTATCCCCGACCTTGCATTTTGTTTCTAAGTGACTAGCTTTTCAGGGTCATTGATCCGGTTTTTCGTTCCTTTACCTGTTAAAAATTCCCATATATTACGCCCAACTATAATGCGTTTCAATGCATAGAAGTATTCCGGATCGTTCGTGGCAGATAAATTGGTATGTCCACCTTCACGGAAGAGGAATAAGTTCACGCTGTCCGGCAAAGGTTCACGAGTCAATTCATCTCGGAGCATTTTAGGAGTAGTTATCGCATCTTCTGAGCCCTGCATGATGTACGCTTTGGCACATGTCTCGGGACTCCGTAAAAATGTTTGGAGAGACAGCTTATCCATGTGCGATCCATCCCTACGAAACATAAATACGTGTGGAACGTAACATACTTGTCGAGCGATAAAAGGAACTGTTCAGTCATCCATTTCACGTAATCCGAGGAGGAATTGACGACATGATGTCGGACGTTGGCAACGGGAGATTCCATGATGATCTTATCGACGGTTAATTTACTTAGAACCGCGGTATCCATCTCAGCCACAAACGGGCAAATGGATTCCGCACCGCCAGCGGTAACGCCGAGGTTTTTGCGGGCCCTTGAAATCACCTCGTTGAACATCAGGGCACTAAGCGAGCTCACAGACTGTGTATATAAGCTGATATGCTCCACGCCTAATTCACGGTGTAAATATATAGAAGCGTCATATAGGTCTCCGACTCCCTTTAACCCGATATTGGTTTCAAAAGATTTACCGCTTTCGTCACTCAAATCCATGATCAAGATGTGGTGGGTGTCTAGGCACTGCATCTGAGAGGAATTAGTTGGGTCACACATGACGACTGTATCATACCTTTTTGAGTGCGTCAGCAAACTTTAGACAGGATTGCATGTTGCCAAACCACCCATGAAGCAGTATAAAGGCTTTGGTGGTCTGTGGGTTGGTAGACCGTATCAGCCAGCATTTTTTCGAAATCCTTGAACCGAAATGCGATGGCACATCCACCTGAAATGATTGACATCTGAATCAAAAAGCTGTACCTCATCATATGCCATACCAAAGCTGGCCGGAGTGGCGTTTTGTGGAAGTCCCAACTTGCTGCAACAATTTAAAGACGATAACCTTTCACCCTACTTGTTTATATACTGATCGTTTAGTCCGGTGTTCAGCAAATTCCCAATACCCGAACCCAGCGGGCTTATTATGTAGAATTGCAAATACGTTTGAGCTGCCTTATGCCTCACATATTGTGCCAAATGATGGAATATCCGAGTCAAAAGGCCCTTGAACAAATTTTCAATTTCCTTGAACTCCGAGAAAATCTGCGTATCTATTTGATGAGTGACTTCACGTATCATCCATATAGACATTTGAAGCAATGTAATAGTGATTGAGGAGGGAAAATGCATGGTGAAGTAGTTGCCTAACCTGGTTCTTTGCTACTTCGTAGTCCGCATCCACATCCTCAACTACAGACGCATCTTCCGTTTGTGGTGACGTGACCATAGCAAACTTTGAAAATTTAGTGGCTTTAGTACGTAAGCTTTCCCGTGTCTGTATGCTGATAACCGAAAATGCCTTATATTACCCCTACCTTTGAAAACGCCGCCACTCGCGGCTCATGGTTGGAACCTTGTTCTGACCTGATAACGTGAATGGTGGCTATTTGCGGTCGAAGAGGAACTTGAACGCATTGCGCCACAGTATAGAAGCAGAAAATTAGGACATATATGATCCCTAGGAGGTGGAATCCCCGCGGATCATAGAAGGTCGGTCTGCACACTGGCCGTGTCTGCACTGTTAAGGGCACCATCGGATTCCACACATCCCCTACATTTACCTTGTTGAACAAACTATATATTACGATGATTAAACGGCAGCGTTAAGTCACGAAGAAGAAGGGCGGTCGCCGGTGAGGTAAACGCCTGTTGTCAGGCAGGTAGACACGCTAAGTTGATTTGATTAAAACAAACTCTGTAATTAACAGCAACACCTAGCTACACATTTAATTCAGCCAAACTTTTCTTTCTCAACATTATACAACATTGTTACTTAGGCCGTGAATTAAACTGCCGGGCAGAGTCTGTCTCATTCAGATGGTGAGCTCGTCCGCTGACGCTGGCGCCCTTTTGTGATATTGAGTGTCATGTATTTACTTAGAGTGGTACGGCGAGTCGTTAGAATCCACGCTAAGGCTTGAAAGAAGACTCTGTACCTTTGCACGCGCCATACCAGTTTGAAGTGTTAATGCAAAACCTTAAAGAAAAGTTCATTAGACACACCACTTACGTGACACGACAGACTAGTTGTAGTGATATGCTCTGTATGCAAATTTATTTAGATGACATTAAAATTAATTACAGTGTATTCCTACTCGACGAATGTGAGTGGAGCCAATTGCTGACATATCTGTTCAAGGCATTTTTTAGCTTCCACAGTTGACGAAGCCTGGACTCGTGATATACCGTCACCATGCTCTTTTAGAACCTTTCCAAACGACGTGAATGTCGGTTCCATTCTTACAGTATCCGTTGCTTCCTTTGAAAGACACGCATCTCGTGCAAGGTGAAAATACTCTTCGAAATAAAACATTTCTTTGTTGTCGGGAGAGTTGCATCCATCATCGTTGTTGGATAGAGGGCAAGGTTCTTCGGAAAGTATTTCACGGTTCACTAATTGACTCAATACGTGAAAGTCACGCTTCTCATGATCTTCCGCTGGAGGATCCCTGTGACCATCGTCATGGCCGCCATCAGTTGTGGATTTGGTCGTTCTTTCTGAAACATTAATGTTGTCATCCTGACAAATCCATTCTGAAAGACGAGCAAAATGTAGTCTGGGATCATGCTTCGCAGCGTCCTTGAATAAATGCAGCATCTTGTCGGCGATGACTGACATATACTTAATAAAATTAAAAACCAGCGCTTACTCTTTGTGTCACTGTAGTCACCTTTAGAAATTTCACCCTGAAAAGAATTGAGAATTAGATATTGTGGATAAGGCATTACTGTAATGCTGCTTACATCTAATTCTGCTTGTTTTAGTGTGCTTGTGATGTATTTGAGAAAACCTTTTTTGCCCTTATCATCTAAATAATTCGTATAATCTAATTAGATAGCCGAAACATACTTGCTGACAAGGCGGAGCGATAGTTTGCAAAGTTGGAATTAATCTGCCTCAGAAAATCTGTGATAGACTGTTTGGCCCTTGTTGTATCTTGGGTCTGCTCTTCTCTGAAATTATCCGTTGGTATGCCGTCTACAATGAAGCTTTTGAGAGTACTGACATTTTCTTTGATTTGAGTTGGTATTGTAATCAATGAGATGTCGACGTCTGAACGTAATTTGCTGTGCTTTCCGGGTTAGAACACCTACTTGGATTAGTGGCTGGTACGTTAGGGCGTTTCTTCAGGGCGTCAGGTTTAATATGCTTCAGCACATCCAATGCCGTTTCAAACGTGGACGATCTATTCGTTTCGTTTTCGAGTGCCTTTAGGATCATTTTGAGTAGCGCCAAATGCCTCTCGAACGGTTCCTTTTGGGCAATCATTACCCATTCTGCAGGATTCGGCATACCATAACGATCATCCATGAAAGTAGAGCCGTTTCCATCAATTTCTTGGGGTTTATTAATTGGTGCCTTGTCATACATCTTGCGATTCTCCGACAAGTGGGTAAAATGTTTTAATCTCTCCTTGTCTCCCTGTTCAACACTTTCCGTCAGATGTTTGAGCCTGTACTGCATCTGCATAATAGTATGGCTAAGCTTTATGATTTCATTGACTAAAGCTTGGATTTGATTTTCAGATTCAGTTTGCCCGTCGGCAGATTTCCCCATGGACTGTGCCGTTCGACCACGTTGAACAAAGTGCATTTTACTATGCACTTTATTCGTAGCCTGCTCGTCATTGCTTGAGTCAATGTTGTCCATGAGGTTATTAAAAAGGACCTGTTGTTGACCTTGTCCAATTATGACTCTAATCAGTTCTGAGTCAAACGTTTCAGCATTTTTGCAGCGACAAAGTAGTTGCGCTTTTGCCTTAATCTCCTCTGTGGTATGAGCTACAGCATCTTCGATATCAGATAGTAGCCCACTTGTGCTTGTGTCGAAAGTGTCTTCAGCGTTGATCGAATCAGCTTCCTTTTGGAAAGTATTCCCTCCCCGCGAGTGTTTCCCTCCATTTTTGTTTCCTATAAAGAGAATGACTATCTTTTGACTTGTATACACACTAGATGATTCGGCCGTACACTCACTAGTTAAATACTGTTCCTTACCTTTATTACTGGTCCTCGACGGATGTTCTACGCTGCTCTGACGTATGCCATAACGGCCGCTAGTTTGCAGAAAATGTACAGACAGATCCCTGTTTCCCATCTGTGGTCGTCTATCCGGAAGGATACCTGGCGTTCCTGAGGGATTTGAGGACTGCGCATTTTTTGTGGAGTCATCTGCCGCACTAGCACATTTGCATTTACCCCATAATTGTGTCAACTGCCTTATGGTTGATTCTGGCACAATTGTATTTGCCTGCTTAGCAGGATTCAAGTCATCCACTTGCTGAATGACGGCGTTTGTAAGGCATTTTCTAAAATTTAGGTATTCTGGGCACATTCTTTCCATTTTATCGAACCATTTTTGTCTGGAGAGCAAGAAAACAAGGGCCAAAAAAAGTTCACGAGAATCTTGTAAGATATCTAAAGTAATCTTGCCGAGTCTGGGATATCTGAGATACTCGAGGGTGATGTACGTCAATATATTGAGGGCGTCATGGGTGCTACATTTTGTTTCTCCACTAATTGACTCAATAATTACCCTCAGTTTTTCATCATCGAGCTTCACTGCATCGATATCCTTTGAAAAGGACATGCGACTGTCGAAATGGCTACCTAAAATGAGCGCAACTGTCAGTTTGTGTAGGATCTCAACTACATAACGCCTTCCCTTTAGAATGTCGGCTTCTGCAGGAACATCTACGGACTCAATTCCCAGCAACTCTAGCACCTCTCGGATGGTACACTCCATCGACATTTTTGAGCTACTGTCAGATATGACGCCAGAGCATTATCAATCTACATCAACTACGTCAGTGGTATGTGAAAATTTTATGCGCGACTGCTACAAGTATTGTTTAGTTTCGAATATGCTTCGAAATGATATGATGTTAATACACATCGATCTGGAATCTACAATCTACGATGACCGAAAACTCGTCGACGAAAATTCTCGACCTTGGAGATCGCGGTTTCTGTCTTACAAAGGAACAGAGGCTCTATAAGGCATCATGTTTGAGACAATAAGGCCAACATTACAATATACAGACTATATATGCCCAAAACGGTACACCCCGCGAGCTGTGTACTGCGAGGCCACCGGAGTAGGACATTTGCGACCACCAGCGGAGCCGCGCGCAGCCTTTCGCATGTGTAACGTAAATTGGCTCGTAGTACGGTTAAATTAACATTAGAAACCTTTAGAGCTAATTTTTATTAATATATAAAGATATCAGCGCAGATATCCCTCGAGGCAATCTAGAATATGATGTGATGGAAGGCTCCACCAGAATGACGTTGCGTGATTCCTCCTCATATCCGTACAATCCCGACCACAATGCGTCGGTATTTCACTCTTTAAGCCTTATTTATAACATTTTACACATTTCACATTGCTTTATATTTGATTTTAAATACTGGCGCATTACGTGCCAGTAGAAGACCGAGGGTATAGACTGCCACAATCTCCGCGGGCAGTGGAACGATCTATGTTGGCGGCTTTATGCATCACGTACCAAGAGACCCATCTGAATACATATGTACGAGGGTCTTCTCGTGGACATTTTCATAGTGACACCTGGTTTTCTACATACTATTGATTCATGATTACTTTTATCCGCCACGTTTGCGAACTTGTGGATAAAAAGTAGAAAGGGACGGGGTATTAAGTCGTCGCCACCATTTTTAGTAGATTAGAGGATGCATTGCTCATCATCAATGCCTGTTCTACAACGTTTGAGGAAATGTTTCCTCCTGCTTTGTTTGTGTCTGACAGTACGGAGAGAATTCGTATGCGTGGTGAACGCGGTGGATGTAACGAAATTCGCAGACACCGCAGTTACGTTAATGAATGAAAAACGCAAGGCAATTGTTGAACAAGTTATCAGACTACAAGCACTGATACATCACTGTGTCAGCCATCATAAGTCTTTGTTGAACCACTGCAAGCATTATGAGGAATATGATGGCGAGGATAGTGAGAAATTAATGCTCAAGGGAGAGTGCCACCGCCTGAACACGTACTTTGGAGAAAACACACGAGACCTTGATGCTTACGTCCAACTGGGGGACGTGCCACGAGAATATCTACAACTTTGTGAACAAACTGACCTAAAACCTGATGAAAAGGAAGTTATGCTGTCCAAAAAATGGAGGAGTATGTGGAAGAAACAAACGCTACCCAGTAAGGCAGTGATTGAAAGGTTGATAGGGAAACTTGTTGTATATGTCGAAGACTCTCACCATTTGTTACTTAAAATCCTTCATGCCGATTTTAGGCATTCAAAAGGTGAAGGGGAAACAATGAATACGAAAATATCAACAGCAGCGGATGCTATGGATGCTATGCGTACCTCAAACGGCTACCACGTATCTAGGGATGCGTTGGAACCCCCTTCATCAGATCCCACAGAAATTCCGGAAATGAACGTACCTGTCGATGCCGCAGAGGCGACAGCAGATGATGGTTGTGAGCTCGAAGAAAAGGACAAAGTTGTTCCTGGGATGATTGAACCCTCAACTGTGGTTCCTGAATCTCCAGCTTCTGAAGATATGGCCGAGGATGTTGAACCCTCAACTGTGGTTCCTGAATCTCCAGCTTCTGAAGATATGGCCGAGGATGTTGAACCGCTACTTGTAGATGATAGGCTTACAATAGCTGAAGATGCTGCTGGACAGCAGACAGGCGCACTCGCAACGTCTGATGCGACACCAACAGGTAGTATCTCGACAGGGGACTCCTCTCCCCAGAAACGCGATATAGATGCTTTTGACAACTACAAGCAGACTCTATTAAAGCTGTATAATGTCCATTATTCTGTGAAGCAAATTATGGATATTGTGCTAAAGGTTGTGTTGGAAGATTCGAAGAATGGCTCCGCTGCATCGGATAGCAAAGCGTTGCTGCGCAACGAAAAAGCCGCAGAGCTCATGAAACGCGTGGACGATCTGTATTCTAAATACACCATATACGACAGCATGTATAAATTGTACAATGATTACAATTATTACATGTCCAAATTGCAAAGTGCAGAGACGGAATTCGACCAACACCGATATTTGTCTGAACTTGAAGACATACGGCGAATATTCGAGATTCAGGATCTGCATGATGACCTCAGCAAATTAGGATCGTTTCACAAAATGTGTAATGATGTCTTCGCTGAGTGCCAGGAACTGGAAGGGGAACTAGAGGAAGGTGAGGTGCAATACTGCAAGATGGAAGACAAAGCCACACAGATGGCTACAATGGGCGCAATATTGCCTACTGTACCTTCAAACGGGCTTCCACGTGATGTAGCGTCTGGTGGATCTACTCCGGAAGCGGATGCCGCGGGACCCGATGCCAAAAAGATCAGGCATCCTGTCCCACGTACTAGGCGTAGGTCGGGATTCTCTACTCTCAACCTAGTGGCTGTGAACATTATTACTTTCCTACAGCTTTTCGCGTTGGTGTAATGTGATATAGGGACAATCACCTCTCACCGGAGCACGCACACAAATCATCGTCCCATGGGACGGGGCAACGTTGCGAGATACCAGCGCCTTCGTCTCTATATTTTAATACACTTGGTGTCGAACATGAATTTTAACTGTAAATTACAGCGCAGTAGTTCTATGTCATTACAGGAGGACACATTACAGAGCCTTGAGTGTCCAAACGTCGTGTTGTCCTCGGTACTTTCATTACAACCCTCTTATGTTATGTTTTTAGCGGTTTTCAGTCAATGGTGGGATAGGATAGCAAAGTTACAGTTGCGACCACTGCGACATAGTCAGAAAAGTGCCAGTTATCAGTCATCTTTTCCAGCGAGTATTGGCGGTGTCGTGAAATTATTATTTTGTTTCTAAAATATACAACAACATAGCTGTTTTAGTTCTTACATCGTAGGAAGCTGGCACGACTAGGCCCCACGGACTGTGTATGTTGGCTCGGGATCTACGTCGGCTTATCACCTTAAAACAATGTCGTCTGAAGATTTCACCCGCCAGATAAGCGGGAGTGATAGCCCACACCGTGGATTCGGTGGTCTAATCCCTCGTGAATCCGAGGTGGTCGACTTCCTTCTCAGGTTTTGCGACGGGCTTCATCAGCGTAATGCTGAGGCAGTGAAGCTTTTGTACGAACAGGAGCTGAGCGCAATTACTGAGAAGCACTTTAAGACGTCAAGATGGCCATCAATTTCGGCCGTAGCTGGTTTCTACAGTCAGACTGGGCGTCTTCACAGTCTGATTATGGCCCTTTACTCTGAGATATATTATCGTCACGTTTTTTATTTGGGTGATGTGACGTTCGATGACCGTTTGGATTCCTGGGAGAAATATTCCAAGCTATTGGCTTACTTCATCGACGAGCTGGAGAAAGGTGAAGGTTCTGATGGTCTAAACAGCTTGGTGATTCCTGCATCCTGGGTTTGGGACATACTTGACGAGTTCGTTTATCAGCTTCAAGAGTGTTGCCGATGGCGTAGTCGTCTTAGTCGCAGCGACTCTAACGCTTTTGCAAATGAGGCAAAAATACATTCGATATGGAAGGTGCCTACAGCGCTCGAGGTTTTACAGCGGCTCGCTAACAATCCCATCTTCCAGGGCATGAGCCATCCGTCTCAACGTGTACGTATATTTGTTGTCATCTTGATTGCGTTATATATCGTATTATTATCATCATCATCATCTATATCTGGCTATTGTACACTGCAACATCTCTTTTTTTGCACATAAATTTGTGTTTTTAGGTATTTTATGTCCATTTTACATATATTGATGTGTGCACACTGTTCATTTGATGATTCATTCACTTAAACTAATCGACAATCAGGATGGCCTGGAGTCTGCCGGTCGCGGTTTCCAGCTGGGTTACTTTGCTTCCATTTCGCTGGTACGCCTGCACGTATTGTTAGGTGACTACTACACATCTGTACGTACGGCTACTACAATAGAAGTTTCTAGCAAGTTTCTGTACTGGAAAGTTCCGTCGTACTACGTCTCGTTGTTTTATCACCTCGGTTTCGCTTATATGATGTTGAGGTATGTATTTCTATTTTGTTGTGTAAACATACCCTTTCAGGCGATACAGCGACTGCATTAAGGTTTTATCGCAAATATTGATCTTCTTAACGAAGCAACGCAGCTATTCTGTTACCCAGAGCTATCAGCAGGGTGCCATGGCTAAGCTGGCGGAAAAGATGTACCTTATGTTGATTTTGTGTCACACAACAACTAAAATCCGTTTGGATGAAACGATCCTTCAAACCATCAAGGAACAATATGCAAATCGTTTTTACCAGTTAGTGGCAATTATGTTGAAGTCAGTTTTTTTTCAGGTTGCAGGGGGACAATGAGGAGGCCTTTCGCGACGCTTTCCTAAAATGTTGCCCTAAATTTATAGATGCATCAAGTGGCAATGGTCCCGTAAACGAGGACGATTCCGACATTACCGGTGGCACCCTCAACGAGCCCGTGCAACGACAATTGAACTTGTTCCTGAGGGAGATTGGAAACCAGCGCCGCGTTGACGAGATATACTCCTTCGCAAAACTGTATCACAATATCAGCCTAGAGAAACTGGCTGCGCTGATGAAACTGGGTGATGACCGAGAGATCGTGCGTTCTTACGTGCTGAGCGTGAAACACCAGACCCGTCAGTTTGCTAACTCTTCCAGTGGAGGCGACTTGATTCCTGGAACATCAGAGAGCGACCTTGATCTGTATATCGACCAGAACATTCTCTACATCAAGAGCAAACAGAGTCAGAAGCTATACGTAGAGTACTTTTTGCAGCAAATACACCGCTGCAAGAACACCTTGCGTAATCTGCAATCGAAACGTGAAGAGCAGAGTCAGGCGAAGAAGGATACAGTCGTTCAGGAGAGCTAACTCAATATTAATATCTTAAAGTATTCAGTTGTATTCCGATAGTCAGTCCCGGCGTGCTCTCTTCGTTCATGTTGTATAGTGTTGAATTATGAATCAAAAAACGCGTTCCTCCGCGAGATCCATTAGCTTAGTGGTTAGAGCATTGGTCTTATGAGCCAAAGGTCGTGGGTTCGAGCCCCACATGGATCACTTTACGTGCGTGCTCATAAAGTTGACCTAGTTATTTTCGTCGCTACGCCATGCTAAGGGTCTCAAGAAGTGCTTGCTGTTGCGTCATGAGATGCTGCGTCTCACCTGTTTTCGTCTGATGGTCATGACGGCCATTAGACACATTGCGGCTAGAGGGCCGGATTACGTATGTATACTAGAAATTGTTAATGAGGTTCTTAACGCGTGTTCATTTCGAAAACTTGCCTTCCATGATCATGCGCTTCATCTCGCTGACTGCGTTTTCGTCTAGTGGAGAGCACCCGTCATCAAAATACTCCTCATCGAAGTCATCGTCATCGTAGTCCTCATCATCTTCGTAATCGTCGTCGTCATCATCATCTTCATCCGAACAGTAATCGTAATCCACGCTATCACTTTCAAATTCTTCGTCATCGAGTTCATCGATTTCTGGGTACATGTTACCTCCGTCGAGTCCCCCTGACTCTTCTAGTAACAGTTGGTCTACTGTGTCAGAAAGCATTTTGCCGTCGCACATCCTAATTCCGATCTGCATGAGCGACGTTAAGCACATCATATACAGCTTTCTCATGTACTTGGATCTTTCCCCTGGAGAGACGTTCATGATCACTTTTATAAGAGTGTCGGCACTCTCCAAGCTTTTGAGCGGTGGATTTTCTCCACAGCTGTATATAAGTATTATCGCAACATATCTAATCTTGGATTTGTAATAGGAGGGCGTTTCTGTAATAGCCTCAAAATGGGTCACAACACTGCGTGTGAGTTCCTGGGCTGCGGGCTGCAGAATTCTGTCACAAGCACGATTCTTGATGCAGATCTCGAATACATCCGCAAGAAGACGCTCAGAATGTCGCGCGTCATCTCCTATGCTTGCACGCTGGCACAAAGTGTATAGTTGAACAGCGATTTCAAATGTGAACCCATTAGGAGCATGGGCAAGTAGGCTTCTCACAGGGTCACGTAAAACACTTAATTCCACCATGATTGCTGGCAGTTCGCCCTCTTCGGCGGAATCCACATCATGATAACCAGCAACTGCCTTCATACACAATCCCATAATCCTCCATAGATCGTCGAATCGTACACCCATTGCTGCCGCCTTTTCTTCTCCGGCAAATGTCACAACTTTGTTGGCGATTTTTGCGAGGTAGCTTAGAATGTATGCAAGGTCGTCGAGGAAGTCCATAAGTCTATCAATATCTAGAGCCTCGTATAGGTAAATCAGCAGTTCATTTGTTTTTTTCGTGATTTTGGCAAACATTTCACAGTCACCGGCGGTCATGTTTTCAGTGTCGGCATCTGCTGCAAGTCTCACGATGGATGTTAGTGTTTGTACCATTGACCACCGTGCCAATACCTGTTCATCGTTCGAGGTATAATCCGCGTCCTTGGCCAAAGCTCCTTCACTGCTTATGCTACTCCATAGAGCGTTGCACACGTTTTCTGTGATTTGTGCTCCGAATGGTAGGACAGCCACCGAATACTTGTCTACTATTTCGTCTAACGTCGACACAACGGTTTCTAATTCGATTCTCTCCATGAGTTTGAATAGGCTTTGTAGTAGGTGTGGGAGGTACTCCACGATTGTCTTTTGCAGTGTTTCGTCCGAGTTATGGAAGAACGAGAGGACTGCGCTGGTGGCCATAACGGAGACAATGACTTCCTCGTCATTGAGAAGTTCAACAAGTCTAGAATAAATTTTAAGTAGGGTCTGCGAATCCCTCCATACACTAATGGTCATTACTACGCGTCCGCAAAGCCATGCACTTCGCATTCTCAACCATTTATCCGTTGACCCAAGCAGTGGCAATACATATCCGACTAAGAATGCTTCTCCATTTAAAAGTTGTTCTTCCGACAATTCAACTTGATTCGATACACGTTTCTTGTTTACCTTTTTGGTGTTTTGCAAGACGCTGTTAGCGGCGTGTCCAATAAGGCACATGACACCGTATACTACAGATACCGGACTTTCACGGTCGCTGAATACATCCCTTGCTGCTGATATAACAATTGGTACGAAATCGGGCCTCCTGAGTTTGCAGGCGTCCTTGATAAAGTCCGCAGCTGTGCCCCTTGGTGACAAAAGTTGGAAGCTTACGTCAGCACAACTTTGAATATATGATTCCGGATCCTCTGAGTACATCTGTTCATCGTTTACGTTACATGCGAACGTCTGGAAGAGCATTTGTACAATGACCGCTGCACACGGCTTGATGGCAGTGTTATATATTGCTGGGAACGCGACTGCGTATTTGAGATATGTCCATATTTTATGATGTATGTGGTTTGTCAAGACTACACTTCCCGTAGCTTCTGCCTGCATGAGTACCAAAAGTTTTTTGGCGAACTCCTCTGCATAACCGTCTTTGATGAACCTTGTATAATGCCTTTTCCCTTCTTCTTTATTTTCCTTCCTCGGTACTTGCCTGGACATGTACTTGGTAAGTATATGTAATGCCCATTTGAAGCACTTGAATCGTGGCATTGCGTGCAGGCGCGCCTCTTCCTCATCAGGTAGTTCTACATATGGTAGCATGGGATGGGTTCCTGGCGCTGCCACGGCATTCCATGACACCGGGCTGTCGAGAACGAATCTTACCAGGGCCATCCATGCTTGAATTGTTTTTTCTACTGTGTCCGTTGTGGGTGATGTGAGCAATCCCATGGAGAAGTACACTTTGAGCACTTGATGGATACAAGCTGCCGCTTCAGGTGCATCTAACCCAGCGGCTGACGCATCCTGGGCGACCTTGAGTAGTTGATCGAAGAACACATCTACTATTGCGTTCACTTCCTGTGTTAGCGACTTAGTGTGGTATTCGTAACGATACATGAGTTTTCGGATTACTTTGAGGGCACATATCAGTCTATCACCGTTGGAACGCTGCTCAATATCCGTCCTTACACGTTGTATTAGTGAGCTGGTGTCGCCTTGTTGCGCGTTAAATACAATATGTCGCAATATTTCAAAGCACTGTCTCCTGATAGCGTCATTGTTCGGTCCTACAGAGAGGACGGCATCGTATAAGTTGTTCCACAGCGCCGCTCTATCTTCGGCACATATTGTTTTATCGTCCCTCCATTGTGATAAAACTAGATTTTTGAGTTTTATAGCGCCCGCGAGTCTGACTGTGTCTACGACCTGTTCCGCGGAGATAAGAGACAGTAGCAACGGTATAGCTCCCTTGAGTGTTGAAACCTATAGATGTGTAAGGTAAAATATTGATTTATACGGTCGTAATAGGGTTTCGGATTGTAGTTCTACCTGTTTTTCTGACTCACCTGCAAAAGGTACTCTTCGCTCTGTTTACGCGCAGCCTGATCGGGAGATAAGGACCCTTCCAGTGCCCTATGTAGGGTCTCAGGGTTAAGTAGGTTTTCAGAGCTCATTTCTGAGAGTGTCAGTGCGTTTCACGCTGTGTTCCCCCAGTTATGCTTGGGCCGGCCGGACGCCGGGTACAAATGGTCCAATGGGTACTGGGAGGTTGATATTAGGTTCGTGTAACCTCAATTGGTATTTTATGCGTCTATGTGTAATCTATAAAATTCCCATTTATAACCCCAGCAGCTTTTTTCTTCGCGCCTGAGAAGGACACCCTTTCGGTGAGCTACGTGCTCTTTTGTTAGATAGTTGGGGTTGAATAGTTCAAAACATTAATTGGGATCTGTCCAACGTGTATGTTGCCGCTTCAAGCGATTACTACGTGCTCATGTGATTTTGAGTATGATCGGCACTGCGACAGACAATCCTGCTAGTGTTGCGCCGATAGTGATGTACATGATCAGCCTACTGCTGCGCCGTTTGTTTTGATGCGCCTTTATGAGCTCTACGTTGGCCTTTTCTGTGTATTCGACTGCTTTCATTGTGTTGTACTCCACTTGATCGATAAGATCACCTTGGTAGCTGACGATCCCGGCTAGTTCGACCATCATTTGATGTAACTCTTCTACGCTTTCTTCCAGCGCCAGAACATCATTATACTTGGATTGTATGGTCTGTAATGCATCCGTAAGGCTACTGTTGCCTACGATGGACGACCGTGCTGCATATTCGAGCACTAAATGCGTATTTGCCGGTACCATCATGCGTTCGAGTTCAGCTTTTTCGGCGTCGGGGTATATAAGCTGAATTTGCCTTGCTGTTCGATCTTTGATTTCTTTTTTGAAGACATTTTGCGCATCTTGGTATCGCTTGACAGAGGCCTGGAAGTGCTTGAGGCACAGATTATAGGCATTGACCCTCATCCTCCCTTCGGTAGGAGTGCCCTTATCTTTCTCCTTCTCGAGTGCTGATATGGCACCCTTGCACTTTGTACATGCCTCATTGACACATGCGATTATATCGTTGAGTTTTGTGCTAACAGCTGCGTTTTGTTCATTGGTAACAGCACTTGCACTAAGCTCCATTAAACTGTTTATGGCCTTTGCGCCTTCATCGATAGACGCAATTAGCCCTCTTGCAGTATGTACATCCCGCATATAAGTTCGGAACCCTTCGTCGAATTCGTCATCGCTTCCGCTATCCTGTTCGAATTATGTCACATGGCTACGTCTCGCTTACCCGAGCACAAGGTGGCGTCCCATCATCTTGTACAACTATTATACAGTCCTTGTTATACTTGTTTGACTGTTTAATGCCCCTATATAGGCTCTTTAGCTGCTGCGTTCGGTTGTACATCCTGTTATGATTTGCCTGGTAACCCAGTTAGGTACATCCGTTCCCAGGGGCAGATCCCTCTGCCCAAAATAATTATGGTTATGCGTAGCCTTGTAGTTTCACTTTTATTAGTTTCCTAGCTACAATCTTGTTTATAGATGCTAGACCGTTTTGGTCCCTGGCACGGTGTCTAGTTTTCTCTGCGCAGATCACACCCGCGCCGATGCTTACTGAGTCTGCGGCTGAACATATGCAGATCTAGTGACAAAAGTTAGGTATTTGGCTAGGCTGTTACGTGTTTTGCAGTCTACACACTCTAGTGTGTCCCGGGGTTCGGGGCGTCAGATGTGTAGGTACGGGCGTGCACCGTGCGGATGTATGCTACGTTCGTTGGTCATGACCTGCGGGTAATTCCAGATTTATCTTCATAGATTCTATTGTAAGGATTTGTTGTGTAAATAAACTCGTTCTGCCTTCGAACGCCTTATGATGCACGACCCTATTGGGGACTTGTGCCCTGCCTTCCGTATATTAGCCCATATAGACCCCAACTAACATTGATTTCCGTAATGTTGATAGTAGCAGGCGGTTACGAGGGCGGTCTTGTTGGAGTGGAGGCCCCTGATCCTTCGGAAGCATCGGCATCTTCGCCGTCGTCTATAAATTCTTCTGTCGCACCTGATGAGAAATCGCTAGCTTTTCGTTTCCTCTGCTCTCAGGTGGGTAACTGAACACTAAAAGGTCGTATTTAGATGTTTTATGTTCTATGTTATAAATATACAACCATTTTGTTTTGAAGCGCAATGGTTCTATAATTGCATTCTTGATTCTTTTGTTGTGTGCCGTCGGACTTGGCTTCAACCGGCGCTTACGTATAGCGTTTTATTGTATGGATTGATAGCCACAATTACTTCCAGTGTTTTTAGAGTGGCAGTCGGTTGAGCTAACTAACACCAGGCTCCTTGCCGGGTGCAACATGAATGTGTATTTGTGACCTTCAACTGCTAGGTTGGCCTCGGTGATCCAGCAGTTTTTCTTCATTTTCGTATTTACAAGCGGTGATGCCACAATGCCTTGGGGTGTTCCGGTCTGGGCCTCATGTCATATGATATAAACAAACGTCCCGTTTTACACGTGCGACATTGGTATTCAGGGTTCTATTCGTTGTTTGGCTCTTGGATTAGACTTCTTGTGTTGCGGTGGATCGGACGAGACGGTCCAGTGGGTGTCTACGCCTCTATGAACATGCATTTTTAGGGTGTACGGACTGCGCAATCGCAAAAAGCACGGCGACCTTCTTTTATCTGATGGATGTATCACATCAGTTGGTGCCGTGGGCACAATTGCGAATGGATTACTCCTGATTGGTAACGAGCACGGTCTCTTGCATGTTTACTCGGTGCGGCATCTCAACTTGCTAAAACAGCTGAAGGGCCACAAGCGCTCCATCACATCGGTTTCTGTGCACCCTAACGGGGAGCTAGCTTTATCGGTATCGGAAGACGCTACAGTGCGTCTGTGGGATTTAAAAACATTCGTTTGTGTGTTTTATTCGCGCCTAAACGGGCCTTCGTTAGCAGTAGAGTGGCACTCCGACGGCAAGAGGTACTATATTCTATCTGAATCGCAACTTTTATTATTATCATTGAGCGAGGATACAAGTCCGTGCGTTCAGAAGGCGGGAATATCGTTGAAATACTGTTGCGCCACGTGGGTAGGTGATTCGGTAGCTGTTGGTTGCAAGTCTGGAGCTGTGGTCGTCTACTCACCAGGCTCTGAGACGCCTATAGTAAAGGATGGTGTCCACACTAAGCGTATCAAAGCTATCACCTCATTCTCGGGTTGCATAGTTACTGCTGACTCTGATGGGATGCTGGTCTGTGCGTCTGTTGCTTCTGGCAAAGGGCCAGGATTATCTCTGTCGGAGCTATGGCGTTACGATGTAGAGATGCGTGTCAACGCCTTGGGATGTTGTGCGAAGTAATCACGAAAATAAATTGGGTGAGTTGACTGCTTTTATTTGTTTGACTGTATTGTTGCTGTGTATGTTGCGTCGCAGTGCCAGGGGATGATACATTTTGATTGAGCTTCCGGAGCATAGCATTGGCGAAAGTGCTCTTGCGCATTCTCCGGGCCGAATCTTTGTGCCACGCACAAACCGCGTGTCACAGTAAACGAGCCCGTACATACGTAATAATTTGTTTTTGACCGATAATCGCTGGCGCTTGCGTTGGCTCCCCGTTGGTCAGCCATCAAGTGGTTGTGCAAGCCGGTTGCAACAATGATATCTACTTTAGTAATCTGATGGTTTCTGTGCAACTACATATTAACTTGGTGTTGTTAACTGCGTTATTTCTTATTGGCTCTGGATAACTAAAGGACTAAGCAGGCCTACGTCTGATGCTATGCATGACATACACCTCTTTCCCGTTTTCTTGATGCTGACTTCAGCGTTATAGCGACTCGAACAACTCGATTGAACCTCATACAGCTAATACGATCTTATAACTAGTTTGCCTATAATTCTTGTCGTACTACCATTGTTTTATTCATATATCCTTTAATCCGTGGGCATTGTACCACCCATTTCGGTGGCATTAATTCATCTAACACTCGATTTTTTTAGCGTGCGAGATGCAAACTACATTCAACGAGACTTTTAGCGCAAGCTTGTTTCCTACTTCAGTTTACGGGGCGTTGACGTGTATTTTGCAAAGCATCGGCTCAGCCTTGCTTTGAACCATATCTAATGGGTGTATTCACAAGAATTAACATTCCTCACTTAGATATGGTTGAGTTGGCTGGAGTTGTAGAAGTAGGGGGCTGAAGCTTGTAGTCGCGTTATAGGATGGCTATCGTTCTGTTGATACTCTGTGTAACCATACACGATAAAAGGATAACCGTAGGGATTACTTAGGTCATTTTGCGGCGGCGGTGGAGGTGTTGGTCGTCTTATGGGTTGTTTCGGCGCCTCTCCTGTTGATACAGTTTTCAAGAAGTTAATGACTTCTCGGTGCTTGTCCCACTCATGTGCTGCCACTTCCGCACGCAACTTGGCTTCATAGAAACCATATTTGCGTACCCCAAATGTGCGTTGCGTTCGTTTTGAGCACACAAAGGGGTCTCTGCAAGTAGCTCTCCATTCCAGCTTCGCAAAATGATAGTATACCCCTGGCATTTGACTGTAATAGTCATCTATAGGTACATTTGGTATAACCACTGCATTTGCAGGAATGCCTTTATGTATGCCTCTTCTCCTCCGGTTCGGCACCGCTTTGGCCACTGCTTGCCTATGCGGTACCGTTTGTTTTGAGATAGGTCGTACAGAATGAACGGCAAAACCGTTATTCCAGTAATCACGCATACGAGTTTGTTCCATGCTTATTACGTCAAACACACAGTGTTGTGTCGCTTTTGTTATTGCAGAAGTGTATTTTGGCTTCTGCATTTATGACCTGCGGGGGTGAGTTTAGACACGTTATAACTGTTAATATCCAGTGTCATTACATGCAGGCTTAAATCTTGTAATTAACCTACCTTCCAGAGGTTTATTTCGATGTTCTTAATGTTAATCCGCGATAGAGTTGAGAATCAGCTGCAGGTCATGTCAATTGGAGTAATTCCACAAGGAATCTCCTCAAGACATGCTGCAATATAAAACGGGGTACCCGCTTAAGAAGGTCGGGGTAATTTTTGCACTTCGAGTTGCAAAAATGTTCTGCAATACTTTAAGAATTGTTCGGCGTCTTGCTGGGTGCTGTACTCGGTTGATCTGTTTGAGACGTAACCACAGCGTCGCGCACATATATTGCGACACACAGATCCGGCGACTATTTAAACACATTGGCGTCAATGTCCTGCTATTAGATCAAAGACAACGTCTCCGTTAACAATTTTAAGTTTAGGGGCGGGCGACCAACATGGTCTTGCGGGCCCATCACTGCGGCATGTACATGTGTTGCGCCATCCTACCTACATGCTGGTGCAATTTATTTTCATCATCAACCCTTTGTACCGGGCTAACGAGTCGTTTAAATTTTGATAAATGAAATTGCATTTCAGCTTGTTTATGATCCGAGCCTAATTTATGGTTGTTTGCCTCGAAATCTTTACACCTTTTAACATTTTTGTGAGATATTTTTAGCTTTCCTTTATTGGGATTTTTGAAATAAATCTCACGTGTTCTTTCGATAAATTCATATAGCGAGTCTGCCCAGACGTCTCTATTTCTATCGACCCTTTTGAACAGTAGTCCAAAATCGCCTCCATCCTTATGATATTTCACATAAAAACAATTACTATTTGTGGGATCAGCCACAACGACGCTTATCGACAGAAATGGATAGGTCTCTATAGCTTCTAGCCCTGCCTGCATCGGTGTCAGTTAATGTTTGTTATTTTCATGCGGGAGGTAGGAGCGCCACTGGCGATACGGGTTGGCTATTTAGGTTATACATGCACTTAATTGTACACAATTTAGCCGTATCTTTGTGTCACAACAGGTTATATGTTGTTCACACGAAAAACCCTGATCGCCTACGAGTGATACCACTAGCGGTCTCATACCTCCGTAACTTTATTTGTGTTTGACTTACATCATAATCCTCTCTGGTGTTCCAGGCGCACCATTCCCAGTTTCCATTTGATATTTCGAGAGGTTTGAAATACAATGTGGTCCACTTTCTCCCGAAAGTGTTCATTTTTTTCAAAGGACCTGAGATGACTTTTGAATAAAATCTTAGTTTGGCATAGTCGTCCATCCGTTCTAGCTCTTCTATTAAATCCTCTTCTACGTCAAATTGAATTTGGGATGAGGTTCACTCTTACCTATGCTTTTTCCATCTTGTTCTGCCTCTATGATAGCTTGAAGCATGAGCGGTGATAATTCTCGAGCTGCTACTTCTTCGCTCATCCGATATATAGAAACCTGAACTATTTGGTTATTTTAAAGGATTGTCTACCTTCATCCTGGTTGCTGAGTGGTTTTCGTGCACCATTGTAAACCATCGTCTTTTGGCCGGTTTTTCTGCCATTAAGTCGTGAGTTGCCGATAGTTTCAGTTCGCCACAGAGATGGTCTCTCATGAGCTGTTGTTTGTATAACTTGACGAAAATTGCGTCATCACATTGCCTGACGTGCACTCTGAGCTTTTCCTACAGGAAAAGTGAATGTGGTGACAATATATATACATCAAGGCGTTATTTACTGTTTTAGCACGAACAATTCACACATATGACATGTCTAAGGTAGCGTGTACACAATAATAAGAATTTCCCCATGCATAGTAATGCACAGGGTCGGAAGCATTATGGCGGGGTACCGTTTTTTGAAACGGTCCGAGATAGCAACGCGTCAATGGAGCACAAACTCACATGCACGTGGAGTTGGCCGTCTTTGGCACTGACAGTTTGAGTACGGTATGTTTTTCTACCAGCTTCTACTTCTACGTAGTACTTCCCTGAATCAATCCCGCTGTGAGCTTCGTGTATTTCTAGGATGATATCGAAGGGATCGTGAGAGTGTAGTCCTACTATGCGATATATGCCACCTATGCATCCGCATTCTGATGGGTGTGGTATTTTTGAGATATTGTTTGCTAGGTAGCTAGTGGCGGCTATGGCACAGCAACCTACTGCGCAGCAGCCGACTGTCTGTGGTTCTATGAAGAACATGTTGTTCTTCTTATTGTTTGTATAGTCTATATCATGTTAGAGTGCACTGTGGATTGTCTGGTATAGCGTTATCCCTGGCATAGATCCTGGTCATATGGGACGAGAAGCCATGGATGCAGTGCGGTGCATTGTCATTATAAATTCATTATATTTCCATACTTCCGTCTAGCACCTCTTAACAGGTGGGCTGGGCCACGACGTTCCGCCGTCTCAATGGTGGGTTCGGGGCCCATCCACATAGTGGCAAGGCCCTGTGCCTCAAAGATACGATATATTCTTCACACATCGAGTATTATCGATGCTCGCGCCATAGTTACTAATGAATGGGCCTCTTACAGATGTAAGTGGTCCGTACGGCGCGTGTGTTGTGAAATATGGACTATTTACGTATGCTTTAGTCTCCGCATCATCATATTGGGCATTTTACGAATATACTCAAAGTAGACATCATATAAAAGGATATATCAACGTCTTCCTTGCCACACTAACTTGTCGTTTCGCAAATTAGCGGTACGTGTCCGCATCATGTACTTATATTTCTAGATTGCAAAGGTGTTGTTAGGGAGCTTCCCTTGCCTGGAAGGCTCCTAAAACTTTACAACTAAGGTACACATTTTAAAATTTTACACTTTGCATTTCGAATATTATCAATTTATGTCCACAAAAGTCGTTACACTCAGCTTCTGTCGCTCGGTGTACATACATGGGGGATTATTTGCTTAAGCGATGCTGTATACGCGTCCACTGAGTTTAGAGGGGGGCCAATTAAAGATTGGTCGTCGCAAAATAGCGACATTTGGATAATATTTGTATTTTGGTTGCCTCGGTGCCGTTTGTCACCGAGGCTGTGTTAATATAATTTCTTAAACTTGAAGGTTTGGATACCATCGATTAACACATCGTGGTATTTTGTGGATTACATGTGTTTTTGGTGTTATTCTGGATTAATTTTCCAGATTTAGTACTCCATACATTGGCGCCTTTGTAGGTACTGGCCATGTCTTCTGGTAGCTTGGACTCGGATAGTTCGCAGCTGCCTTCCCATCCGTGGCGTTCGTTTGGTATATGTTATCGTGACCGGCATTTTCCGGACGACCTCTACGGTGCGCCGGATGACAGCGCTGCTTCTGTCAACCCCGTAAGGGGTGTATTTCGCCGCCTCCGGGAGCGCACAGTTGACTTCGTGATACGCCGGCGACTGGTGATCTCCTGCGTTGTATACGTCCTGATGGATATACTGACTACCGTTTATTACAAGCGGTTAATGGATCATACTGGAAACTATGTGATGGTTACCATGGAGAGTTTAGTGGTATACTTTTTGATTTTATTTGCTGGGATTTATGGTATCTGTTGTTACTTCGCCCCTACATATATGTCTCGTCCATTTAATGTGCAACCTATGCTGGTTCTTTCTGTTTTTGATATTATGGGCACGGCACTTTCTGCTTTGGGGAGTGTGAACACTAGCGGTATTTTGCTGGTTATGTTAGCTCAAGTTGGGATACCTTTGACAATCATTGCGTGCAAGATCCTTTTGGGTCGCAAATACCACGAATACCACTATTTGGGTGCATTTTTGATAGTTTTGTTCGTTGCTTTGAAAGAGCTCACATTGCCTGCGGTATCTGAGCGCAATGACATAAATTCCAATTTGCTATATATTTTGGCATGTGTTCCAGATGCAATAGCATCTGCATTGCGCAGTGGTCAGTATATTTCTGAGTCCTTCCATTTAGTGAAATATCAGTTTACTGCTGTTGCGCTTCAGTTTGTTTTTGGTCTACCATTATTTGGATTTTTCATCTCTCGGCGATTGACACGTCCCGATTTGGGAATTGTAGATGGTATAGCTCATGACGTAAAGAGTGGTTTTATGTGTTTATTTTTGGGTCGCAATACAATAGTGGATGGTTGCAGTGACACAGGTTTTCCACGTTGCGATGCATGTCCAGGTTCTTTAGGCATATTTGTGACCTATTTGCTTTGTAATATGGTGATCCGCGTGGCATATATTGTGATTATGTTGAACGGTACGGTGACCCTTGTGTTTTTATTGGGGACATTAAAGGTCCCTCTGTGTTCAATAGCATTTTCCTTACCTTCTATCAGTGGTGATAGTGCGGGTGAATTTGAGTTCATAGATGTGGTGTGTTTCGTCGGCATCATGTTATCGCTATTACTTTACGGTACGGGAACTAGTCGATTAGAGAGTGCATCTGAGCACACGTTAGAACAACCGCTACTACCGGAAAGCGAGGACTCGTTAAGTGATATATATGTACAAGATCCTTTAGAGTAAGCGCAAATGGCGCAACATCTCTCTAAACGCAGTGTTAAATATTTGTATAAAAGTACACATGTGTGTTAGGCGTTGCCAGGTGTCGTATCGCCATCTTCTGTTTTATTATAGTTTATGTGTTAATAGAAAGTCTCTTTCCATGGTGTCGAATGAGTGGAAGGCATCGTCAAGCTGCGCTCGTACCTGTCTGAGCGGGTGGGTGTATTCCATCTCAAGTAATTCCCCTTTATACTGTAGTTTGACATTTCAGATCATTTTTAAATATTTCAAACAATAGATCTAATGCGTGATATCTGCGTAGACACGCGGATTCGACTCTTCAGTCCTGTATCGTCAGGATGGCTCCGTTACTAATACCGTGTGTGGCTGTATATCCCCATCCAATTGATCAGTATAATTTGACGGTAATGCTTAACAGAGCCAGCGCGACTTTTGCGCTGGTTCCTTCTTTCAGTGCCCGAAAGATGGCACCAATATCTGGGTGCACATCCTTCCTTCTATGGTTAACAGTATTGCAATTATCACGCTGTTTGCGTATAGTTAACGATGATCCCGATAATAACGCACGTAAATCCGCTACTAGGTGCTGGTTTGAGGTAGGTGTGGCTCCATGCTGGCCGTTTAAGGTGGGAAGGCGATGGTATCAATTCGTGCTGCCGATATCTTCATCCCGTGTCGTAGTTTGTTATTCCTTGCGGCTCGTATCGTTCTAAAGAAGCTTTCCACAGCTTCTATTTAAAATGGCGATTGTTAAAAGCTTATTATCGTACAGGAAGGGCGAATGCTGGCAGCCATAAATGACCATCGAGAGTTCCATTCGTCACCTCCTCTCAAATGGTTGGTATCATAGGTCAATGATTTAATGTTACGACTTAGGAGCGATGATCTAGCATCGTCGGCGCGCACGTTGGCAGCTGAGGTGGGTGTACACAGCTCCAACAAACCAATGGTTCGCAGCTGAGCCGTCGCGTTAACTGCAAATTGCCATTATATTACCGTGAGGAGATCGGAACCAATTATTTATCTGCCGACTTGGACCGTTTTAGTGAATCTTTAGCGGTACAATTTTGGTACGAGGGTCATATTGACTACGACTTTGAGAAAGGTAGATGGATGGCAAATCTATTTTAATATTCGTCGCAGGAGGACCCCTGAACCGTAATCCCAACGTTTTATCATTTACCCAGCTAGTTTGGTCGTCTACAAGGGTAATTTTGTGTGTGAGAGGATACACATTAATGACAGGAAGTTGGTTGCGCAGTAGCATGTTGCGACAGTCGACAGCTGGTTCTGGTATGTCGTTTCCATCCACCTGGCAACATCCAAGGTGTGTTTTAGCTTCTTGGGTTAATAGTTATATATAGGCCATTATATGAGCAATGTCAAAGAGAAAGTGAGTTGACACCCATGGGTTACTTATTCTCACAGTTTGAGAGGCTTAAAGACCTGGCAGCACGTACACCAACCGAACTCTGACATAAATACAGTTTAATGTGGTTTAAATTTATCTCCTAGTGTGTACAATGGAGCCGCTCTGCTCAACGAGTTACCTCGTGTTGTTCCATGGGGCGATACTGGCGCTACGGTATCTACAGCTATATGAGCGTTACTATTTACGTCTTGTTCTGAAATCTTTTTCTTTGATAATATATTCGTCAATATCGCGTCACACCATGGGAAGCCTCTTCAATACGCACCCAAAGAACTATGGCCCCGGCAGCCGTGAGTGGTATGTTGATTATTCTTTGATCCTATTGTGTCCCTCGTTTATTTTTTCACATATTAATCTCTTGCAGTTGCGTCTGCTTCAACCGTCACGGTCTGATTCGCAAGTACGGCCTGGAGATTTGCCGTCAGTGTTTCAGGGAACGTGCCAACCTCATCGGCTTCCACAAGGTATGTGGTCTATCTTATCTACCGTCATAATGTTGCAGTACTGATCAAGTTGTGTTTAAAAACCGGACAAAGTGATCAATTTTCTTTGTGTCTTGCATTTATTTTCTGCATATCACCTTTTGACTAAGTTCTGTATTCATGTTTCTTGAATCGACCGTTCCTACGTCGGACATCGGCTAGACCCGTGTGGAGGTTTGCTCGAGTCCCGAGGATCTGGAATGGGCTACGTTGGTAACTATATGTACACAATGTAATTAGTTTGACTGTTTACATATGCTGTGGCCCTAGAAGAACCCATCATCGCTGCGGTATACATGGGAGTCCTGACTCTTTGCTTTCTTCTGTTGTGCCTTATCTGCAGCTTGCGCAAACATATCGTACATATTGAGTGGCTGCTTTTCCTCATTCAGACGATTTCGCACAGCCTCGGCGGCGTTCATGAATGCTCGACCCATGAGTCCAAGCCCTTCTGCCCTCTTTCGACGCCAGTGCTCATCAACCGCCATGTCCGATAGAATGCGCTTGGCAGCCTTCTTCACTGTGGACTGTACATCCATGAGGCATATATTGAGCATGGCATCCATAATGGTGGGTAGCGAGTTTTCGCAAACGTTCCTCATGTACTCTTCGTTGAGCATGTTTTCCCTCTCTCCAACACCTGAAGTACCACGTTGAGCGCTCCGTTCTGCTATGGCCGTCTTGACCATCGAGGTGAACGCCTTGACACCTTTGCGGAGTGTCTTAGACTGTTCCTGCATCTTTGCAACCTTACCGCCGATGCCCAGGAACGTATCCCATTTACCGATAAATCTGTTGGCGACATTGTTGTATGTCCATCCTATGGTATCGACAAGTTCCACAGAGAATGAGTTGGTGCATAGCACCTTGGCCTTCTCAATAATATCGGTGTACCATTGTTCAAGGTCACCGCATACGTAAGGTCTGACGAAATCACGTAAGTTAAGTGCCAATTTAACCTCGCGATCCCACTGTGCCACCTCGAAATCGTTAGTGGTTGGGGTATAATCCCGATTGTCGGCTTCAAGTTCCATGTATAGAGCCATGCGCAATTTGCCCACATAGGGCTCAAAATCATCAGAACCGAACAACATCATAAAGAAAAGAGAACTGTCTAGGATGGGCATTTCATCACACGCCGATTTGCCGAACTGGTCGTATGCATGCCTCCGCTTCTCATCACCAAGTACCTGATAGGCTTCTCCTAGTTTCATGAACTTTTCAGCTGAAGATGCGTCTCCTGTCTTATCTGGATGGTATTGTTTTGCAAGTTTGTAGTACTGTCTCTTGATCTCAGCTTGAGTGGCGGATGGGTGTATATCTAGTATATCATAGAGCTCAGTGTCCATTACTTCAACCTTCCCATCTGAAGTAAATTTAGCTGTATTTGCAGCGTCTGTACGATTTCGTACAGATTCTGATTGACGCTTTACAGCGCTGGCAACTTCCTTGACCTCCTCCTCTAGTGAGTACCAGTTGTCTCTCCACTCTCCATGTTGTTTGTTCCATCTTTTGCCGCTAACTCGTTGAGATATTGCGTTCGGAGTGTTTATAATGCCCCTAGTTATCTGGTAGCTGGCTATACCCACCCCTGTAACCGGTAGTGTGACAGCAGCTAATAGTCCAGCACCAACTCCCTTGACAAACCCACTGACACCATTTTGGTGTCCTCCTACAACGGGGCAAACTACAAGACTGGCTGCTCCCAGCATGACACCCTTGGTTACACTTTTGATCCCCGAGACAATTCCAGCCCCGGCATCTCTTGGGTTCCGCATAGAAAATAAGTTTGACAGAAGTGAATCATTCGTCAGTCTCTCAGGCTCCTCTGTACCACGCGTCTTCATGACTATAGGGTTTCTAAGTTGTTCCATGCGATTCGTTTCGCGTTGTGTGCTGCATCTCATGCGAGTATCTTCTTCCGCTTTCTCCAGATGCATCTGTGCCTGTTGTATGATAGTACCATTTGGTTCCCCTTGGTCAAACCATGGCTTGGCCATCCCCTCCGCATCCACTGCGGCACGATTGTCCCCAGTGTCGTCGTTAGTTAACGGTTGGAATGAATATGGTGTTGCAGAATAATAGCTGTTTCCGACCATTTCAGTGAGTTCCTTCATAACTCGCTCCTCCTTATCGGAGTCGGATTCGGTGACATCTTCAGAGATAGTTGCGGTATTTTCACCGTTATTTACGTTGTTTTGTTGAGGCATAGGAGTCCGCTGGTAGTTTTTGGCTGCTGCCGTTGTTCCATATGGCCTGGGCTGAACGTGCCTGGTCTTCGAATCTAGAGTGTCCTCCATTAGAAATTCTGGAATGTTGTGACGTCTCGTATCGCTGTCCTTCGTTTGACTACCTGATGTAGGATCATAAAGCGAACGTCCTTCGGTGGATTGTATATGATCCATTTCGTCTGTTTTTTTGCCGATGTGTCGTTTATATATAGTTTTTTGCACTACTTTATCGTAGAAGTTTTCAAACACCTATTATATCCACGTAACCGTGGCAAATAGGCGACATAGCTCTTGTTTTAAGGTCGCATTTGGACTCCAGTACAAACAAGCGACTCAACGTCGCAGGTCGATTCGCACGGAGTCCTCTTTGTGTCTCCGGCTACTGTATTCGCGGTATTATTCGTCAGTAATTTCTGCTTATAACATGTAGAATATATGCTCTATAGATTGCCGCTGTGGTGTAATGTATGCCGTGCTGCGCATCAGAGCGCTGCTCCGGTTGCGTTAATGTTAGTACGGGATTAATTATACTTATATTATTCAGACCAATACATGTGTAACCAGTATGTGGCAGTCGTGCGTCTAGATCGACGATATCCCTGGGCTCTATCTACAGCGATCCAGGTTTCACCTGGATTCCGAGACGCGACAATAAGAACATCCGCATGGAAATGGCTATTTAAAAATACACAACATTTTAATGCAACGGTCCCTGGCCATTATGATTCGCATTAAAAGGGTCTTTTACGCGACCTTATAGGTATATCGTGTATCCAGGGTAAGGGACCATTTACCAATACCATTACCCCAATTTCGGCAAAAAACACAGTTTCACACATACCCGCATTAACTAAACAGCTGCGATTAAACAACATTTCATCCTAGAGCCATGAAGTGTATCTCCGAGGTTTATCGGCAACGTTACTTCGGCACATTTTATCTAACGTGCGTTATAATCTACCCGACAGATGCGATTCGTATAAAACCATATTTAATAGCGATAATTACCATTAACGATCCTTTAGGGGTCCAACCCTTACCACGTATCGCGCTTCCCCACTCGGCCAGGCAACCAACGTAGACCATATTGCCAATAGTTCTGTTATGGACAGAAAATGCTAGCTAAATACATAGCCGGAGCGCCAAGGCGGTTCGCGCTAGAGGCGCGGCGCTATGGCGGCCATTACACCGGCCGTTACGTCACATCGGATCAATTGGAAAAGAAGGACCCAAACTGGGCTATCGAGGAGACGAACTTTTGCCTTGGTAAAATCAGTGTAAGTTATTAATTGCCATTACACATGTTAGTTGGTCTGTGTCTCCCCGTTGTTGAACCGATTTGCCGTCTAAAGCCGATGCAACGCAGATGTGTACGGTATTATTGCCTATTGGGTGTTTGTGTGATATCTCAGCGCAATAGGCGGCCTAAGCGACATGGTTTGTCATTGCACTTACCCGAGTTATGACTATGCATCACGCTTACATTAGTACCTTAGTATATCTGGGAGGACCCATTGAATTAGTCATCTCATTTTTGTGTACAAAGTGAAATGGTTGGTATCAATCGGGCTCACCATTGCATTAACATTATTGTGATGATCTGGCGAGTGATATTTGCATTTTAACACGGATCATGTTGCTCAGGAAATCCGATTTAAGGACACTGATGACCTTGCTAGACGAACTCTACAGATTATGGACAGCCAACTTAGCAGAATGCATACACGTCTGCGTGATGGTACCTGCGTACCATACATGGCACTCAGTCTACACCAAGTGGTAGACCGCCCCTGCCCGAACCACGTGTTCATCGAGCAACCACTCTTGAAGTGGACATGGGACGAGGCATACGATGACGCGTATGAAAACATGTAACAATATCGGTAACTTAATAATTTTATTAGTTGTTTCATACATCATTTGCCAACATGTGAAACTTTTGTTGACGACGGTATCAGCAATATATCCGCCACGTAGTCGAAGGCCACAGGCACTTCGGCGAGTAGAGTCTTGAACCCTTCACGATCCTTTTGCATCTTGCGTAAAGTAGCATACACGCTAGAATGTAATTTTGGGTCGGCAACGTCTGTCGCAGGTGTTTGTGAGCGACCATAGAACTTTCCGTCCAAGTTTTTAGACAGTAGGTTACTTCCAATGGAGGGGCAAGGGAAATTACGTTCTGATGCTAGTTTACTGACGGCCCGCAAAACAGCTGGGTACATAGCACCAGACAACGTACCTCCGGTAGCAAGGGTGATATATATGCTTTTCAACCCCATGGTAGACACTTCACGAAGTGTTGCCAAGTGTTGTGTTACCAACGAGTGGACTGATGCCGGTTCAAATACCGCCCCAAAAGCCATGGATAAGAGCGCGAGCACTATAGACTCCTTAATGCGGTCATCACGTGCCGCTGTCATGACTTTACCTGCAATGTCCAGTATCCTATTTTCAGGAGTCATTGGTAGATCAAGATGATAAACTGCGTTTAGATATTCCAAAAATCCAGACGGATCGATTGTGCCGTCCACACGCCGTGTCACAGCGTAAGCTATGGATGACACGGCATCGGATCTCGTATTGAGCTTTCGAGCTACAGAAAGTAAGGTGATTAGAGATCGCATATCGATATCCCACTTGGTCCCGCCATCAGCTGTTAGGTAGCTCAACGTCTTGTCAAAGAGCACTAACACGCTCAGTTCCACCTGTAAGTGAGGTAACAATTCGCAAGCTGCGACTATAATATCCACATTTCGACCGTGCTCATTGAAAGGACTATCAGTGTCCCTTGGAGGTAAAACAAGTTCAATGGCTTGGCGGGCGACGGTTTTTGCCTTCTCGCTTTTAGTCACCTTAAGGAGTGCACCTAAAAGACGAAAACTTGTACGAGATGGTTGCCCTAACTCTTCTAAATGATGCTCAACTATAAGGTTGCAAATCTCATAATTCCCCCAGTGAGCCATAGTTTGCAGGTCGACTTGGCTAAAGCGCTTTCGCTGTGCTAATCGGCCTTTTAGCGCTCCCTCTACTTTACTTATAGCGGCCAACTTACTCCCTAAGTTATGCAGAGCGTTGAATAGCACTACGATTTCCTTGTTACTAAGGGGTTCGTAGTCCAGATTCTGGTCTATCCTAGATGCAACGGCGCTGGCAGCACTCGCGCAGCCGATTATCACGCAATAATGCAACAAGTACACATGTTTAGCCCCAGCTTCTGTGATATCTGCCTCGATAGTTTTCGTCAACACCTCGTCCAACACCGGACGGTCTACACGGTCAGTAAGTCCCCAGTGTGAAATAGATTGCGTTAACGTCAACGCATCCAAAAGCGATAGTCTGAGTTTCACAACTGAATTGTTGAAGTGTGTAACATATGCACTTTTGAATGATTCGGTGACGTCCACGGACTTGTGCATCATGAGATTGGCTACGTTGCATAGCTCTTGTGCGTTCATCTTTGGCAGCGCATTTTCCAGCAGTTCGGCCAATTTCTGCTTCCAAAGCCCTGCCTTAAGGTATGCGCAACATATGTTGCAGACCATACGACCGGTTAGAGTGTCAGCCTCATCGGTGACGTTCTGCGTTAGCAAACGGAGTGCCGGTTGTAACGAGGGATGCACCGCGCAAGCATACAAGATCGTCGAGAGCGTCTGCCCACGTATATTGTCGCGGTCAGCATTTAGACGTGACATTACAGTTGTGGCTACCTTGTCCTTTATTATACGCAGCTTGTCAAAGGCGTAGAGCACCAACGATAACTCCCTCAGGTTTACCCTGGGTATAAGGTCCGGTAATTTAGTGACCACGTTGCGAACCAATTCCGATGACGCAATTTGTTCACGCAACATAGGATGGACACGCACCACTGCTCCAAGGGAATGTATGAAGCTGACTGATAGTTCCACATTGAAGTAACTTTCACGTTCCATTAACTCTTGTGACCTTTGAAGTATTCGCTGTAACTCCTGACGACCAAGAGGTATCCTTAGAGTATGACTGGCGACCATAATCATAGTTAGGAGCTCTATATTTAGGAGGGGGAGTGCCTTTGGTGTAGTCACATCTCGAAATACTCGCTCTACCATGGAATGAGCTGACGCGTTCATTGCCTCATCATGAGTCAGTTTGCAGGCAACACAAGTGAGAAGGCACTTTGAATGTGGGCTCAGCCTATCGAAGGTGCCGGGATCTAAGACAGTTCGCACATAATGCTGCCAAAACTGTGCTGGAGGTCTCGGTTCGGCAAGTCCATTAACAAGCCTGAGACCGAGCCTAGGTAGATGTGCGGGCTTCGAGGCGCGTAGCGCCGCAAGTAAACGCTGCATATCAATCCATGTTTATAATGTGTTCATCTTGACTGTGGCACGACAGTTCAATCATGTGGTGCGGCACTGTCCTCTCAACCGGTCACACCACGTCAATTTCCATTCACCGGAATCGACGATGATGCCCTCACGTCTATCTTCGTTCAGGTTGCCGCAACTCGGCCGTCGGCTCGGGCTCAGGGTCATGGTAAGTAGCTGCGAGTCACCTATACGCTGAATATGCTTTTGCCCATTATCTGGCTCCATTTTCTCGGTTCATCGTAACTGAAAGAATTATTATAGTGTATTTGCATGGATATATCCGATCTGATGTCAGTGGATGTCAAGTCACCGTTTTACGGTGGCTACATTGGTGATTGTCTGAATGTTCTCCTCAACTGGAAGGTTGTCGGCGGCTGCTATATCTCTTAAATCATATATTAGTCTGGAAAAGTTTATAGAAATCTATAGCCTAACGTGCGTGACGTTGTTGCTGTAATTTGAAATGAAATTCATCCATGTTACATTTGCTCCGTATTTGTGTATTCTATAACATATATTTCAGGGCACCGTGTCTGGAAGAGCTGGTGACATCAGCCGTATCCTTAAGAAGGCCCCCCCGGCTTACGTGCAGGTGCCATTTGTGGAGGAAGACCTTGAGCGTATTATGGACGAAGTACCTGATTTCAAGTTTTATTACGTCGGAAGGGAAGATGGACGTGATAATCCCTACAGAAAGGTCCCCATGACTACAAGTATATACGCTGAAGGTACGGAAGGTCCGTTCGAAGCTGTTGACGATTCTGTGAAGTTCGCTATGTTGGCTAACGGGCTGAGGATCGCATCCGTAGACCGAGGTGGTATGGACTCATTGTTGGGACTATATGTTGGTGCTGGTAGCAGGTATGAGACCCCCGATGAGATTGGTGTCTCGGCGATGATCGAAAATATGGCCTTCCATTCGACAGCACACCTATCACACCTACGTACGATCAAAACCATAGAGACTTTGGGAGGGAACGCAAGCTGTAATGCTTTCCGAGAACACATTGCCTACCAAGGAGAGTGTCTTAGAAAGGATTTACCGATTATGGTTAACCTCCTCATAGGAAACGTGTTATTCCCACGTTTCCTACCGTGGGAACTGAAAGCCAACAAATCCAGACTGGATGAACGACGTAAACAGATACATGCATCCCCGGATCAATTCATCACCGAACTTTTACATTCGGTTGCTTGGCATAATAACACTCTAGGTTTACCCAATTTCTGCCCTGAGTCAAGTATTGCAAACTACAAACCTGACGTACTTCGCAACTTCATGCTGAAACACTTTTCACCAGACAACTGTGTGATCGTCGGTATCAACACGGACCTTTCTGAGTTATCTAAGTGGGTTATGCGTGCTTACAACGAGTACAATGCAATTGAGCCCGTTCCTCGCCTGAAAGAAGCCCCGGTATACACTGGAGGAGTGCGTTACCACGAAGACATTTCACCTATGATGCATGTAGCAGTAGCTTTCCAGATACCAGGAGGATGGGATTCACCTGAATTGGTAGTATTCACGGTGCTGCAGTCACTATTGGGTGGTGGTGGAGCTTTCTCAACTGGTGGTCCTGGCAAGGGTATGCACAGTCGCCTTTTCTTGAACGTTCTGAACAAAAACGAATTCGTGGAATCATGTATGGCATTCTCAACCGTGTACAGTGACTCTGGTATCTTTGGGCTTTACATGGTCGCCGCACCTCACGCGTCGAGGAGTGCTCTAGAAGTAATGTCTAACGAGTTCCGCAACATGGTGGCGGTCACACCTAAGGAGCTGGAGCGTGCGAAGAACTCATTGAAGTCGTTTTTGCACATGTCCCTAGAGCACAAAGCAGTGCAGATGGAAGACATCGCTCGTCAGCTACTGTTATGCAACCGCGTATTGAGCGTGCCAGAACTGGAGCGCGCTATTGACAGCGTCACTGCGGCTGATATTCAAAGTTGCGTGACCAAGATGTTGAAGGGCGCTAAACCATCGGCGGTAGCTATGGGTAACTTATCATTCATGCCTCACCCTGACGAGATGTTGCAATACTTCCAATTTTAAAACCGCCTGATCACTATACTTGATGTGACAGACCTATAATACTTCCCAACTTTGACCACAGTTTTTAACCTCACTTTAGCTTTATCAAGTGTTGAGCTTATTCAGCGTTGGAGTGGTGCTTGCCTGGAGCTCCTTGTGGTATTTTTACCGGTACGACTCTACACATTTGCGTCTACAAGACGCTATATACACATAGGGATAAGTATCGTCCATTGACGTAACCAGTTGTCAGTACACCCTTGCACACTCCGGCCATCCAGTAGGCCATGTGTACTGAGTTTGTCGGTTGACTGTAATGGCAAAGTCGTTGGAAAATGGATGACATTTTAGAAAATAACACGTTAGACGTGTCGTGTCCACAACAAATGGACTGTCAGTCCATGTCTGAAGTTATGGACCCCGTAACAGATAGCATACAAGAGGAGCCCGTCTCTGCTGAAGGCCAGCACGAGCAGACTGATGAGCCATCCCCTTCTCACACGTTGGATGGTGCCATGATATCCGAACTGCGAGCCATGGAACAGAAGTTGGCTGATAAGGATCAACATTGTCTCATGCTTGAGCAGCAGCTGATCCAAGCCAACCGTCAAGTCGAAACTTGTTATTATCAGATGGAAGCGAATGAAGACCAACTACAGCAGTATGCATCTGAGTTGTCTTCGTTGCAAGCCGAGTTAGAACGCCGAGATGTAGCACTCGAAAAAGCTCGACATGACGCCGAACGCCTAGAGGTGTTACAATCAGAGAGACAACAGCTAAGCGAGATGGTAGCTGGATTAACCCGTGAGCTGGATATAAAAATCCGAGATGCTAATCTATCAACGGCCTCGGTTGAAAATCTAAAACAACTGTTATCCGAGGTTGAGAGTGAAAAATCTCGTCTTGAGGAACAAATGCAAGCAGTAGAAAGCGAGCGTCAGGCGCATAAACTAAAAGCCTCGGAGATGTATGAGTTGTACCAACAATTACGTGATGAAAATGTGACTCTCGTTGCTGAACTTAAGGAACGTGGTCTCACCAACACTGCTCCGACCGATCATCATGAAACATCGACTAAGTTACGTGAGTTGGCTGAGGAACTGGAACGTACAACAAAGCGTTGCAAGGAAAAGGATGTTCAACTGTCTGAATGTGATGTCACGATCCAAGAGCTGCAAAATCGCCTGAATGTTTGTGAAGCGGAGCTACGTCGAAAAGTTGAGGTTCAGACTACCTCGGATACAACCGATGTTACTCAGGAAGTGCGCCTATTAGAAGATGAGCTACGCATAGTGAAGATAAGTAATTCCGGTCTTGTGAGCGAAATCGCAGCGCTTAAGGCACAACTCACCGATAAGAATGCAAGGATAGACCATCTGAACTGTGAGCTGATGATGATTCGACAGAACCCTAGTCCCAGACGTGAACTGGATCTAGAGGCATATATGCATCACCGTAGCAGCGGTCTATCATCTTCAGAGGCTGATCGGCGGCGTAATGGCCATAGGGGTGTGAAGGAAGCGGTTCATCAAGTGTTTACAACCCCCCGTTATCGCATGTTTTTGGTGCTTTATACAGCGTTATTGCATCTGTTACTCTTATTAACCTTACTTAAATAGAGCTATATATACTGCCAAAGTTGCGGTGTTTATGTACTACCTCAATTTTTAATTTTTATACGTGTTATCGGATGAACAGTCGTGGTCGAGGTAGAGCTGGTGGTGCAACATTGACTGTTGCTTTGAGCAGCAGTCAATATACTTCTGCAGGTAGAAATGCATAAGACAGTATGCTTCTTCTTGTTCCTTGGTAGTTGTAGCATCCTCAGACGCTAACCATGCCTGTAGTTCGCTGTTTGTCGGCGTCGGGCTGTAGTTATTAATTCCTGCATAAAATGGATATAAAACCATAGGTGACGACATTCCACGGTTAAAGCTGTATCCTGAGAGTAACGTTGGACTGGTGGATTCCCTATCTCTGAGAGATAGTTTCGTGACCGTTTCATCATCCTCAGTCAAGCTCTGGCTACGGAGAGTTTCCAGTGGAGACATATCACCCATTCTACTAGTAGAATCCATAATACTCGGCCTCCGTAGCTCATGTACACCGTGTGCATATCTGCACATGTTTCCAGCCTTACAATGTCCCTTTTGCCAAAATTTACAGAGGTAGGTTTTGTAGAAACCATCCGTGTGTCGCAGTTCCAGATAACTATGTGCGTATGGGCAGTTTTCAGGTAATTTATTGCAGCATCCTCTCATATGAAGTTTGCACATGGCTGTTTTGAGCAAGTTCGGTGGTTCCTTCAGCTCTTCCGGACTGTGGGCATATGGGCATTCCGTCCGCATGCTTCTGAGACATCCCTCTGGTTTATTCATATGAGGGCACAGTTTCGTTTTGTGGAACTGTTCCACAGATATCAGTCTTACCTCTTGGGTAATATCGTTATTCAACGTTTCGTTAATCATGGGGAAATTGCTTTTGGTGCCGTTGTTTGTATGACCTAGTACAAAACAACAGAGTTGTATTTCTCTGGATATGTCGAAGGTCGTTCCGGAGACAAGTTTAGTTTATTCCTGTGTGTGAAAGGCCTCTATCGGTCGTCGGAATACCTAAAATCAATGCACACTTTGGTATTCTAACGATTATGCTAGATAGGTGTTGTTTACACTTTCGTACACTTAGTGGTGTGACGTTAATATTACTGTGGGAGAAACTGGGTTACGTTGCCGCGAGGAACTTTAGGAGCCGTCTTATGGCCTGGACAGGGGGAATAAAAGCAGCTGTTTCTTACCTGCAATAGGGGCAGGGGAGAAATAGAGGTCTCAGAATATGTTTTATTACATATTTGTTGTACGCCAAATAGCACACACAAGGATTAATGGACCTTTAAGTAGTCATGAAATGTTACTGTAAAGTTTGGTTCGTGTCGTAATAACGGTATTTTGGTTAAGTTGTACCTCTGAGGTTGCATCATTACACATAAAATAAAAAAGCCGCAGCTTCCTTCGCTATATGTTAAATAGCTTACACATTGCCTTAATATAATGAATTATAGGGTTAAATGATAAAATCATGCCCAGATTTTATGATGGTTATCATCAGGAGGTATCCATATCGCCACCTGGCTAATGCACGACATTTTTTCTCGGTTACCTTAACGGCCCATTAATACTATTCGCTAGCTCGTGTATATAGCGCTACCGTACAAAAGCTCATAGTGATGTAGAGTATCGGCTGCCAGCGCTCGTACGAAGCTAGGCACTCCCACCGGTACCAGGTCGGTATTTGCGAGACACTGAAACGATTCATACGTTCATAAACGGTTTACACTGGTAAAAAAACAAATAATGGTGCTTGGATAACATAGAATTTTGTATGTATATTAAATATAAATTGCTAGCTGGAACTATTATCCCAACCATCACATGCCATCTTACAACTCCGCCTAGTGTCGTCAATCGTCGTTAAAGTCACAGGAAGCACAGCCATGACAACCACAAGAAACACATTCGATGATCTTCCCAGGCTCCAAGTCTCGCTTGGGGACACGACAGACACAGCTAGTTCCGAAGTTCTGATTTGTCGTCTGGATACAACGTAAACAGCACAGCCGTTCATAACCTGGCTTACGCCACTTCGATATTAGATTTGGATCTGCATGTCCCTCTCTGACGCAATAATCGTACAGCTCCCCTGCAACATTATAAAAGCAAAGTATAGCTTACAAAACACCGATAAAACCCCGCAATATTCAAATAATACTGAATTATGGACTTCGTTTAACACCAAAATGTGGATATAAGTTAAATGGAACATATACATAACGACAACACCGTAGAATTCGAGGGGTGTAGAGACACCAAAGCTACCTATAAACACTTACTTGAGATTTTCTTCTGCACATAGAATAGTTCATAAATATAACGTGATCTCTGGTGGTGGATACGAAAAATTGGCCATTGTACTTCGCTACGACGCTTGCCATCACCACTCTCGCGCTCGGCAGCTTTCATACGCTCTTCTAGAGATTCAAGCGTATCTGCGATAAGCTCCCAGCCTTCGGGAGGCGGACGCGAGTTCAACGTCCTAATGCGCGGCATTTTTATGTACTGGGGCCAATACGGCCACTGTACGACACTACGCTCTCACCAGTGGATAACATAGATAACAAACAGCGAAGCTGATGAGCTGTCATCCAAGTAGTGATCCTACAAGTCCTTAACTTGTGCCGATGATTAGTAGAAGCCTGTTCAAATTTGTATTAAGTCAATTAGTTAACCTACCTTTATGCAACGCTTGATCATTGCTGCGACCGTAGAGTAGAACTGCTTATCTCCCATAAATGTATGTAACATGAAGGTTGCCGGCATTATGTGAGATTCTACCTGGCATGGTCTTGAAACAATAGATTTCAAAATTCCAGAGGTCACTAATTCCAGCATAGTGTTCTCACCATAGAAATTACACTTCCCAACAAATAACTCACGCACTCTATTACGTATCATCCAATGACCAGTTCTCTCCTCCACATTCCTCGAAGATGCACGACGTATCCAGCGTACTAATGACACAAAGAGTTCCATAATTTCACGGTTCACGTTAGGGTTGTCAGTAGGTAGCAACAGAGCCACGAATGCCAGGTACTGCTCAAATAACTGTAAAGAGAGAATCTTCATAGCAGCTACATAATTACTCATGCCAACCCTCAAAGATTGAGTAAACAAATCAAGATAAGACAAATCAGCTTCATTCCGGAAACGAGCCATGTTAAAATTAATCCTTTCAGCATCGATATGCATATCAGAAGGCAAGTACTCAAACGCAAATTCACCGCTACTCGCTTCGGTCCTAGTTGTGCCATTAGTGTAATTCTCTTCATTATCAGCGCAACGGCCAGTGGACGGGCCGTAATCACTGGTAGGAGCTCCACAGGCACTCTCAACGTTGCTGGGTGTCACAGATTTGTTACGGACCCTAGTAGGGGTACCTTGGCTGGGAATATCGCTCTGTAACTCGCTGCTGCAAGAACCATTCGTTTGCAATTCAACGGTAGCCAACATTAACCTAGGAGAGTCACCAGTATTAGATCTGTTGGTATTAGAACTGGGATAGCCATTTTCATAAGGTGATGTTACAGTGCCCTTAGGTTCTGTTTCCACGCCGCTTTCCATCTCAACATCAGATTTAGCAGACACAAGCACTGGATTCAGCGGTACTTCACCATTTGGCTCAACAGGCATTTCCAAACCGTCAAACATCGTAACCAGCAAACGAGATGTATATTGTTTGATTAATAATATACATCTACCGAGTAACAGCTCCTGTTGACATAGGCGCTTAGATTGAAGGACTACTCGCAGCACTAACATCTGACTTCGACTACCAAACGCTGATGCATTTAAAAACCACAGTATCCAACGTCCAACGTTGTTTATCTCATCCTCGGTAGAAAATCCATCAATCTGTAGTGAATCCTGACACATATCAACCTGGGGCCAGAATGCGTTCATATTCACAATACGACGGAGAGTATCGTACTCACGGTCAAGGCAGACCGAGGCATTGACGCCATCAGGGTTGCGAGAAGTCATGTCTACCGGCAATTCTGGTCTGAAATCGACGATACGAAGCACATAGAGATACAAAGTGATCTCATCGGATATGTGTTCGGTATGACCTAAATCCAAAATTTGGTTCATACGCAGTGACATTGTGTTCACAAATCTCCGACGAAGTTGCATCTGGTCACAGTCACTCAATGTAGACATGAGTTCGCCTATGGTCCCCAACAGCTCTATGCGGGACTCCAAAGGACACTCGTTGTTCACCACCTTCCGCGTAGCACGTCGAATAAGGTCAATAACATCACCGTGAGCGTACCCGGCGCAAAGCACCAGTGCACGCAGAGTGCGGGCACAGTACGCGCCATATATACGATCATTGTCGCAAAAATCTAGGAGACATATTTCTTCTGCTGCCCTTAACAACACCGGATCCCTAGCCACGATGCCGCAGGTCAGCATGATGCAGTCACATATGCTACGGTGGATAAAGGAGGCAAGTTCCTCACAATAATGCCCATAGAGCTCACGAACTAAGCTTGGAATGCATACTTTGCATAGGTATTTCTCGATCAATTCCGTTCCAACGTCAGGAGTCATACGATGGGATATACTGCATAGTACAAACGCAGCTAATTCGGCCGTAACCCAGTCGAATTTTGTATATAGCGCCACTACGGTATCCTGTAAAACTTGCGCCAAGACATTCACTCCCACAATGTGCAATGCATCGTCGATGAATACCGATACTAAACGCCTGTAATGTGCGAACTCCGCAATGTTCTCTTCCTCAAGGTTTAGCGTAGCGCTCTTTATAACGTTGCGAACAAACTCCGTATAGATCTGACGCAGCACCTCTACTATCCGCGTAACACAAATCGAGAGGTGAGGTTCGCCCATCGTGCCTTTGAGAGTGAAGAGTATATTCAGAAGGTTTGAATAAAAGTCGAGGCACAACTGACGACAATGCAGATCTGGGTAATGGACTAACTGTTTCACAAACAAACAGATGGCTGTAGCCTTTGGTGAGAGGTTAGGCGCAAACAGCAACGTGAACGGCAGGTGCTCCGCAGCAATGACCACCAGTAGTTCCATGACACTGCAGGCTATTTTTGTCAAGGCTCGCTTCTTCTTTAAGCAATAATCCTTATCACGATGCGTCAAGGCAACCCCAAATAGCGTATGTAACTCCGATAAGAAGTTGATAGCCCATTGGCAGCTGTCGGTCACAACGCATGGTAACCTTGATATAGGAACCTTTGCGTGGACATTCCAATTGCGTGTAGCTTGGCCTCGATTTTCAGCACAACGTTGGCTAGTTGAGTGCATGATCTGCGTGAGGTTGAACTGCGTCAAGGAGTAGAAGTGTATCAGTGCCTCGCAAGTTATCTCACACAATTCAACGTTCATGCCCACGATAGATTTCCGTAACTGATCAAACAGTGATAATATGCCCCGGATCGCGCTGAAAGAGTTGAGACTGTTTCGAATCAACAACGCATCGTCAAGTGGTATTTTGGCAGGTATGCCGTCTTTGTCAACCGTCGACCTGGTAATACGCTCATCGGTAACAACGTTATCCTTTGTACGTCCGAAGTGCCGTACCAAAAGTATGTGCATCTCGAGCCAACTGACAAGAGCGCTCATAGGCAACTGTAAGTCAGCTGGTGATTTACCCTTCATACATCTGAATAGACGTACGAAAATGCGTGGACCAAACATCACACAGCCTCGAACCACGTCACCTCGAGCTGCCTCAGATATACAAACATTGCTGTTAAATAGTTCTTCTGGTAATGCACGAAGTAGCTCGTACTGCAGCGAAGGACTCTCTTCAAAGCGCGATAGTGCATCAGTCAGTAATAGATTCTGTTCATTGGCCATCATATCGAAGAAGTTGATGATTAATGCACATAACGCGTAAAGTAGTTGGCGGAATATCAAGTGACATATAACCTCATAGCGTATACAGAGCTCACAGAGGTCATCCATGGCCTCCGAACGCAGCTGGCGCCCAGCTGGTTTTCCATCTGGGCACAATCTGCGAAGTGCGTCGTAAGCATGGTGCTTCAGCGTCAAGGCACAGAACATCAGCTTAGAGCTGGCGTCACCTTTGGCGTTGGCAGCATCAGCTGATCGCAGTTGCTCTGCACAGGCTTTCCACGATAGCTGCCCATCGTGAAATGATTGGACCGCATTCTTGACCGCCTTAAAGTCGTCTCCAGGTGTCAAGAACCGTAGTAGGTCCTCTTCTAAGGTTACAGTACCTCCATCCTTCATGTCACTTCATTGGCGAGCTTAAGCTACGTCGTCCACGCGGCGGTCAACGCAGACTGTTGGTGTTCCACACATAGTTATGGGTAATCACAAGCTTGGGCGCCACTATAACAATATTTTTCCTACACAAAGCTAGTTCATTAAAGGTGCAATATGGCTGAGATCGACTAGTTCAGGGATGGAATCCCCAAAGCGGCAGCTTTGGTATCTATTCTGTGAAATTTAGGTGACGACAACTATAATAACTGATGTGTAGCACATTTACTATTCTGATGTAAATTAAAACGACTTTATTTGCTATAAAAACTCCGCAAAGACTACGACGTTAGTCTCTAGGTGTATCGACCATACAGGCATTATGGAAATGTTATTATTATCAACGCTATTGGAGCTATGTCTGCAATATCGTGATACTAAAACTTACATAGGTGTGCGGTTTAACAAGGTGAAGCAGTGAATGATCTGATAGAAACCTTTTCACCCCCGGCGCACGCTACAAGGTCGGAATAAAATATGCCGATCTCGGCGAACCGCTTTGTAAAGGTTGAGTAGCAGCACCAGTTATCTAATATTTGTTGTGAATACCGTAATATTGAAAGTTGTAGTTTTTTTGGCACTCTAATCATGCAGTTACAATATTATAATTCACCATCAACCCGTGGCTTAGGTTTACGCCCACGTTTGCGTTTAACTGGAGGGTCACTACCTTCTTCTTGTAAAGTAGCCGGCATTTTGGAGTCCTTAGGGGAGTCCATATTAGCGTCCTCAGATGTGTTTTCGGCGGTGGAAACCTTGTCCACCGATATCTCAACTCCATTGTTACCCTCACCGGAACCTTCAGCGGAACTCTCAGATGTACCTTCTACTATGCGTGAAGAGTCATCTTTGACGACCTTGAGCTCCCCATTTTCGGGGATATCCGCAATAGTATTCTCAGATGACCCAGGGGGGTCCGTACGGGCAGCGGCCTCCTGCTCTTCTTTAGCGATCTCCTCGCGTATACGCTTGATTATTCCACGCCTGTATCGTTCTCTACGTGAGATCTTGCCACTGAAAATATACCGACGAGCACGAGGGACCTCGGGATGATACTCCTCTGCAACAATGTCAAGTGTAGGCGGACGCAAAAGCAGACATCGACCTCCCATACTCATAATCTCAGCAGCAGCCGAACGCGTGAATGCGTGCGCCTTCACTATTAAGTTGCGAACGGTTAGAGGTTTAGCTACGCCGCCGTATTTCTTCCCTCCTACGACCTTGATCGGGTGGTTGCGTTTGTAACGACCGAGGCGGGCACCAAGACATTCCAAAGTTGCCCAGTCAACAACCATGCCATCCTTAGCAACATTAAGCTGGTGTATCGGTATAAGCTCATATTTACGACGGCTGTGACGATGGCCGGGACCCACCGGCCTACCAACGAATTTCGGTAGCCTTCGATATAGTGGCATTTGCCCACCCTCAAAAACAGGATTTATATACCGACCAGATCGATGCTTCTGACCTTTGCAACCGCGCGTTGAACTGCCTCCTTTACCACTGCCATGACCACGACCCAGACGTTTTTTACGTTTCTGACCCAAAGAGGGGAGCAAGTGCCACTTCCAGAAAGGTTCGTTAGGCTCACGCCCACTACCCAAAACAGTGTTCGACCATACTATATCAGCAGGTAAAGTGCAATTTTCCGGTTTAACATATATGTTATTCTTAGCATCCGGCTGACTTAGATCCATAAAATATGTTGGCACACTGGCTATATATCGCTCTGCCCGTTCCAGTGCTCCTGAGCTACGCAGTTCCGGTTCAAACTCATCAAATACACGTTCACGCACTTCCTCTATCTGATGTCGTACTTCAACAGCCAACTCGTTCTGCTTCTCCGGCGTAAGCTTCTTGTTGGCCATAATGGCGTCTATCTCATCGAAAAGTGATTCGGACTGTTCCAAAGTGCGATCATTCAGGCGTGTCCAAATATCCTGCTGGGCTTCCGTAAAGATATTCTCCACGGTACCGTCCTAATTATGCTAAGTTAATGGACACGTGAACCTACCTTCAGAGAGCTGAAGAAGTCACGCCACTCCTGCCGGCGCCCCTCGGCCTGTTTCCAACGCTGAATACGTTCAATCTTGATTACTTTCTTCCGCTCTTCACGAAAGAATTTGTAGAGGGGATGGGCACGGGGTAGCTTGTCTTTCCCTGAACAAAAATGTCACTGGATCACAAGGATCACATACTCATGCTGAACGAATTAAGCACATAACTGTCCCGGATTTCATCACGTTCCCGTTGAAGGTCTTCGGGAGTGTATTCAACGCCGTAAAACTCTGGGATGATATCCGGATCAGACTCCGGCTGAGGATCCGTAACAACATCAACATTGGACTGGTCACTTGCATATGCTGAGGATCCGCTCTCCGATTCTGCACTTCTAGCCACCGCAGTGGTGTTTCTTACAGCTATGAGAGACCTTAGGCCGACGAAGGCGAGCCTTCGGCATGATGCCTGCGGCACCGACCAAAACGCCAACAGCACCAGTGCGACAAAGTACATGGCTGGCTGTGGCGTTCATCGTGCCTAAGACACAATAATAGTTATACTATGTACAGAAGATGAATACATGTTCATATAATTAGTGAGCTAGGTGATGTGCGGATATACACACCACTTACGCGGCTTTACGCAATATCGTGACGTTCCACCACGGCAAAACACATCACCTCCAATTATGACTTATAATTATTTTATTTGACGTAGGTGCGCTAACGGGAGGTACAGCTCCATATATACGCTGACTACCACCGCTCTAGCTCCAAAGGAGAAGTCCACGGCATTTGTAAAGTAAAGGAACGAAGACAAAAGAGATATCTAAGTCGTAGTCTTGCAAACATAATGCACCTTCTGACTACGATTCCGCATATCAAACGAATATTAGACATTGAGGGGGGGATTCTCTTCTCTAACGGAGAGATATCTGATTTGTAATTATATCTCAACGATTCAACCACGTGTCTTGAATTGTCTATTGTCAAGTCAGTGCCATTTTTAATCATTCAAGGTGTCTGTGGAGCTGTAATTGTCTACTTAGGGCGAAGGCCAATGGCCGTACTAACAGTATGTGGATAGATGAGATTGATAGCTATCATTTACCACGTGTTGCTTGTAGGGACCATTACAGCGTTCCGACAGCGTAGCTTCGTTGGAGACCCGATTTGTACTTCCGGAAACCGCGGATTCGCTCTATATGGGAACCTTCGTGAATGCAGGAAGCTCAAGAGGCCACATGCCGGTCGAAAAGCATTACTGAGAGCGCTTACAACACAAGTACTTAGACATGGGCGGATTATAACGACACTCAACAAGGCCAGACAGACTAAACCACGTGTTGAAAGGATCATCAAATACTCCAAAAAGAGCAATGTACGATATGCTAGGTTACTCATCAACCGATGGCTATACGATCGAGAGCTTACTGAAAACATCCTTAAACTTGCACCGATTCGGTACAAGGAAAGACACGGTGGGTACTGTCGTATTAAACGCCTGAGCTATAGTACTGTGGGAGATAATTCTAAGCGGGCGATTTTGGAACTACTGGACTACTAGAGTACACACGCCAACACCGTATGTGCTGTTAGTATCTCCATATTTGCCAATGATGCATCGCACAAAGGACCGGGTTAAGATGCACTGCTCTCGGTGGTCATCACTTTTGTGCTCCACCTTTCCATCTTGACAATGCTGAATACATACTGTCTACGACATCAAACATTAATGATAGTTTTGCGATTGTATAACGGTTGGTAAACAAAGTGATGCATATCGATGGCATGAGCCATGTGTAATTATGAAGAGCCGAAATGTGTCCGGTGTTGTTGCAGATAACTACCCGAAGACATGTGAAAGAGTCTGCTAAGTGCTCTCGAGCACACGAATTCATTCTCTTGTACAGTATCGTCTCGTACATCGAAGCGATATAAGTGAGGTGTGGCCGGTTGCAAACCGCGCAATAATCGGCGATGGTTCTCGCAGATTTCCCAGACGCGGTGCGCAGTTAAGGAAGCACCGTCGGGTGGTAGGACAGCGTCAAATAACAGGACCGACGCACGCTCAGTAATACCAAGATTAGACACCATATTCAAGAATTCGGTCTTGGTGAATGGTGTAGGGAACGCTTTACAGAAGTTCTGCTCCGAGGGGTAGCGCGAAAGCAGCCTCGCCTGGAAATCCTCAGCTATCTTTACAATACCAACCATACCAAACAACTTAAGCAATGGTACTTTGGCTGCCATGTATAATTTTATGTTGCGCTCGTATAATACATCGATAAACAGCATGAAACTTCGTAAACGACCGTCCATCTCATTCGAGGCATCGAACTCCGGAACCTGTGAGACCCATATTGTGTGGAAGTGATCCGCCAAAGCTATAAAACCCTCGGTACCAAGAGATACTTGGATCTTATCATTATTTCCCTTACCACCACCAGAACCACAAAGATTGGAAAATTGGAAGTAAGCCTCTTGACCTTTCGACAGAGGAACTGTGATCAATCTTAGCTCAGACACTTTTACTACCTTGTCTTTGACTATATTGTCAGGGTCAGATGAACCTTTGAAAGCCGTAAGGAGTGCGCTCTCGTCATCATTAGGGTCGAAAAAGTAGACACGTTCTACAGAGTTGTTCAAGTCGGAAAAGTTCTGCTCCTGACGGAAATCACGTGCTTGCAGGTTAAACAGATCACAGAAGCTTTTTAGGAGTGGTATAAACGGGAGGAATCGTTCACGATTGAGTCCACCCTGATAGAGGTCATCCGGAGATCTGTTAGAGGTGCATACCACGACTACTCCCATCTGCAACAACATGTGTTTAAAGCTGTAAGAGTAGATATTATGAGACTGTGTAGACAATAAACATTTGTTAAATCTACATAGGTATTGTGGATACAAGCAGAAGATAAAGCATCGTGGCGTTGGCAACATTTCAGTTCAGCAACACCCCGGTTACCACAGCATACCACATAAGTCCATAAACCAAATACACGAATATGTCAGATAAACTTACATTGAATATTCGCTCAAAGAGTGGCTTTAGAACCATGGCATCCGATATATGGTTTACGAAAAACTCGTCTAGACACAAGAGCCTAACGTCGCCAACGACACGCTGAGCTACCACCTCCATAATGTCGTCGTGACCATGTGGTTTCTGTTCGTGCATTTCGCGTTGAATACGGATCATGAAATCGTGGAAATGCATACGTGTTTTCGGAGATGTAACCTGGTCGTAGAATGTGTCCATCAGCATCGTCTTCCCCTGTCCGACACCACCGTATATGTACATTCCTCGAATTGTCGGTTGCGAAGGGGCTTGTTTCATGAACGTGAACCAGCTACTTGGCTCTGTACGCGAATCTAATGTGGTCCTAAGTCGATCTAAACGGGTGGTTAACTCTCGTTGTGCCGGGGTCAGTTTCTCTATCGGAATACGGGACAACCGGATCCATGAACGTGCCCACATTGTTTCACTCTGGGTAAACTGGCTCCTTGGAAGCGATTCTTGCCTCTAACCGACGTACTATTGCGTCTTCTCGGCGGCAGTGCTCCGTATCTGGGATCGGTCCAAACTGCCACGCAAATGCGCAACTAGCACGAAGACCTCCTGTCAAGCTGCTGAGGACACAGTTCAAAGCAACGCTAACATCAAAAGGTGCCAAGAACGATAAACGGTACGTATATCGCTCGAAAACATAATGCCTTATGGCCTTCCTGTGTTTAAACCTCGATTTAAGATATGTCACTCTCCAGCGTTTACGTGGTACGTGGGCGTACTCCACGCTTGATATCTCCCTTCCCTGTCACATATCAACACACAATAACAGCGTCATACCTCTTGACGTGCCCGCGAAACGCAGCGACGCACCTTTTCAACGCAGTCGCGCAGTTCGTGCTTTCGCGCCCCGGATAGATCAACTACTAGCGACCTTATATGGTATGCAACGTTCATGGCAGTTATTTTGAATAGTGTGTAATATAGACGAATTAGATAATGAAACGCGAGCCGTTGGTCATTTCAACGAGAAGGTGTGTGTGTTGTCAGCCTGCTCGGCTGCAGTATCTCCGGACGTGCGTAACCGTAATCTAGAGAGTAAAAAATCGAGAAGCTGTTGTGGCCACCGACGTCGTACCTCTTGGATAGGAAGAAGTGTACGGCTCTCAGTTTCCCTAAGATTCATGTTATTGCTATCATCATGGCAACCCACCTAGTCACCTCCACAACTACGGCCGAAATAGTTGTACCGAAGGTCTTAATAGACTCAACAATCACAAAAACATCGTCTTCCATATCACTTGAACCGTACATGCGCAAATAGCTCATTTTCAGTTCGTTCATCTTGTCCAACAAATCACCAACAATGAGCAGATTCTGACGAGGCTCCCATGAATCTTCCCAATTTCCCTTCCAACGTACGAAAAAGTAGTCCTTCTTCATACGTGGCTTATAATCTAACAGATCTTCCACCTCCACTGCTTCCTCTGGTTCTGCTGCAACCTGCACGATATCTGGTCGCTTCTCTGAGGACTTCTCCGGAGTTTGCTTTTGAACGGAGGTAGCTGCTGGTGATTGTTTATCGTGAGACAAACTCTTAGGGGAGTCTGTCGGGCTGGTGATGATTTTCCTTTTCTTATGTGAAGAGGTTGGCGACACAACAAGCTCTGGTGCCTTGGGTTTTTCACGAGCACTAACAAGAGATAAAACTCCCAACAGACAATAACAAGGTTACCTTTGTGGACGTTCAGACGAGCGACTGGGAGCATCCGCCTTGGAGCTTCGATCGGTCCCTGGGGATGTCCTGTTCAACCTATTAACGCCACAACACAAGTATGTTATTTAGTCGAAAAAAAAACTGGCTCAAATGATCGGCACCATGCAACATATATGACTATATGTGTGGAAATCGCATGAAAGTGGTAAAATTAGTTTAACTTCAGCCAGTAATGATACAACTTTGATTAACACGAGACACACAATGCATGAAAACATACTGAGCCTTAGACGACGGCAGCATATATTGATCCTTCAATTTCTTCATCTTAGCAGTAAAATCACGGAGATTCGTGAGATTACTCTGCGCAGGAATAGCGTGAAACTTTTGTTAATTACCTCGGGCTCCCACGTGTTATCGGCATCGCTGAATCCCTTCCATTTCACCAGATATCTTGGTTGTTTTCTGAAAACACAGAAATCCAAAATATCTTCCACCTCATACTCAGAGGTAGATTCGGATTCCGATTCCTCGGACGGTGAATTCTTGCGCTTCATCTTCCAACACAACGGACATTAACCAATTCACCGGTCTGTACGAACACGACGCGGTGGAGTTAAAACAATACAAATTGCATGCGTAAAATAAGGAGTAAAATATTTATTGTTCGCGATAGCCAGCTAGCAATTCCACACTCCACAGCATGTGCACAACATACATTGGAATCAATGCCATAGTCATTCAATTTATCGGCATAGATAAGTATTCCATACCAAAAGTACTTATAAGACACTTAATATGACTGTGTGTACAGGCCTGTAGGCAAACAGCCTCAGGAAAACGGACTTAAGTTAGTGGAATCCCCCTATACACCTGTATCTGTCATCTTAGGTGTGTTCATCGTATCAGTGCGTCCTCTTACTTGCGCAGAGCGCTCCTTCAAATAGGATACCTTCTCTTCCAGTACAACCTTGGCACACGCCAATCGTTCTTCGGCGTCACGCGTATTTGCCGCCCACATCCTAGTTTCCGTGTCAGCGTGAAAATCAAGAGCCGCAAATCCAGTAAGCTCCAAGATACGGTGCTCGTGGTTTCCATCCACGGGCACATCGCGAATCATCGTTGCCAACTTCTTGGCAAACGGTTCCCTCGCCTCGATTAGCTCAGCGTCTTCCAGACGTCCCTCAAGGCGGCTGTTAAAAAGTCAATTCGAACTAAATCAAACAAACCTTAGATGCGCTTCTTCTATGTTACATCTATCGTACAATTTAGCAACTGCTCGTGCATTTCCATGCGTCAAAATGGCATTACGCAGTGGTATGCGATCGTCCTCGAGCAACGAAACATTGGCCTGCAGTGAAATGAGCGCATAACACTTGTATTACGAATGAATCTTAACTATTAACATACCAGAACCACGGGTTCATTGGAATCTAGCATTTCCACAACAGAAAGTCGTTGAGCGGCACGCACTATCAGCCTCCCGCTGGTATCTAGTTCCGAAATGTCTACAAACTAAAAGAAATAATAACAAACGATACTCTGTTGCACGTACCTCACACATACAAGCATGTGGAGATATTTCAGTTTCCACATTCGCAGACTTCGATGGCTCAACGAAAGCTATCGCGATGCCGAAGACATTATTCGACCGTATTTCCTCGACGAGCAATTTCCGATGTGCATCATGCAACGTTACCGTTGACATCTGACCTGGAACCTGTGGCATTATCAGTCTTACTAAACAACGAAATCGCTTACCAAAGGAGATTGTGGTTTTATAGCATTAGGGAAGAGTCGATAGCACTTGGTTACTGACGGTGAATCGAATATGCGATACAGTTGTGTCGGAAGCACAAGCTTACGCAACTTGTCTATATCCATTTCAGTAGTATCGTCACTCCCAGAGACATTACGATACAACTCGTTCTCCAAAAGCTCCCGGTTATGCTCCTCCAATATGTAATATAACTCCTGTAAATAACCACCAGATGTTCTGTTCACCTCGCCAGATATCGGTAACGTGAGTCGCATGTGCTCTTTTCGTTTTTTGTGCGTTTCAAGCTGTCGTTTTGTTAACTCGAGACTCATCTCTTCCATTCGGCTCTGCGAAACAGCGTCGCGGGCCGCATGAGGATTCAACTCAGCGTCAACATTGCGTGGAAAACGCAAATTAGAGTTGTATATGGCACATTCGAACATCATCTCGTCTATATGCTCGCTACGCAATTGACCCGGGTAGCACCGGGTCAGGGAATGACCATGACTAACACGGAAGGCTGACGCTAAGTTAGAAGCAGACAGAAAGAGTGTTATACAACATACTGTAGACAACACTCTGACCATCTCGACCAGCCACAGGACTGTGATCTATACGGAATGGTGTCACCGTCTGCCGACCATCAGTCAATACAAAATGGAGTCCTCAAACGCGCTCGACAACCAAGATCATCTCGAGCCAATTATCTACATTTGTGCTGGTATGTAGAATTCTATGAGTGTTAAACAATGTTTATAACCCGTATTGAAGCGGTTCATTGCGATATACTCGCGTAGAGAGTGGTGGAAGGCCGAAGTAATAGCCGCTGAAATGCGATAATTTCGACCTTTACTATTTTGTTGAAGCTCATTTATTCATGTATGAGGTCGATCTCGTTGTTTTTTTACGAGAAATCGACGGAACTCTTAGCCATTCGTGTACTTATATACCGTGTAAATGTGTAGTTGGTACGGTCTCATGGATCTTCAGAATGTGGAAACGACCTTGCGGTACAACCTACACAGACCGTGAGATGTCGTAATTGCGGATCCAGGATCCTATACAAGAAGAGGTCACACAGGATAGTCCAGTACGAGGCCAGATGATCTCAGGATGACCAAACTTTCTGAAACAGTGGAGCGGGTTGAGCGTATGTTGCACCAGTTATAATATGTGAATGCCACACAGAATTGAAACACCTTGTAGAAAAGTTTCTCGGGTGTGACGATGATGCTCTGATCGACCTGTATGATGAGTACCAGGAGTTCAAGGCCATGCTGCGGGGACTCCTTGCCGATATTGCCAAGTACAGAGTGCAACTCAACATTACTGACGAAGGGAAACTTATATTTGGGCCCAAAACGCGACAAACTGTGGAGTCACTGGTCAGACACTATGACAAAGTCTATGAAATCTACGAGGAGCAACTGGTGCCCCGGTTCATGGAAGTAGAACAAGTTAAGGTCCTACTGGCAAATAACGTATGTTCACGTTAAAATATGGCAGTATTTACCATATTTCAGGCTGAGGACAGTGTGGACGAGGAAGACGTAGAGGAAGTGTCCATCTTGGAAGAGACCAAGGAGGATCTCAAGCGTATCGAACTAGCGAAGGAAAAACAGAAAACCGGACCGACTATCAGACAAGCGGACCTAAGTAACATTGCTGACGAAGATATTGTTACCTCGGACCCCTTCTTTTGCGTGCAGCAGGTGTACAAAACCAGCCCTGCTCTTGTACTTGAGGATATTATTGTAGACCTGCACCAGGAACTCCAGGAGGCGTTCGTGGAGGTATTGGATAAACTTGCGACTCTTATTTCTCAAATATCTAAGCACCCTGACGATGTATCTCTGAGAGTACTTCGCGTGAATAACGAACAACTATACAAAGACTTTGTCCAATACCCAAGAGCCGTTGCCTTGCTCAAGTACGCACGCTTTAAGCTAAAACACGGCGACGACATAAAGGAGATATTGAATCAGCGTAAGTGCAGTGATGTGTTGGAACATAACATTGCAGTGGGACATGGAAGTGTGACGGATGAGTACTTTCTCTACCTTCACGAGCCGGATATGTTCGGTGACTACAGGAGTTGGAAGGAGTGGATAGACTTTCTAAGCGCTACGAGCATTACCCTCGATGAAATCATCAGGCAATACAAGTCGGTTACGCGCCGTCATAAAATGTTTGATCGTAACGCATTGGAGGAAGCTCTTGTACTCTCGGGCTGCGCCCGCCCCTCACTAAATAGCTAGAGGCATCGGTGGCTCTACATTACATAAAAACTGTAATTATGGTGTAACCTGGATACATAATGGCGAAGAAAAACAACCGGAGCGCTATACAGAAGCGCTATAACATCGTTAAGAAGCAACAGATGGACCAAGAGCGCAAGCGAGAGGAGCGACGCCGCTACAAACAGCTATGCCATGGAGTAACCAGTCAGGTATTTTTTATATATCTGATTTATATAATTTCAGCTTCGTTCTGTCAATGTTGGGACCTCTTTTGCTACACCCTCCGATGCGCCCATAGAGGACGTCGAAATGAAAGATGCTAAACCAGCTGGACGCGGCTGTAATTTCATTAGAGGGCAACCTGATGGCCACTTTTTAACAGCACGACGGAAAAAGGTTCTCAAACAAGCACTAAAGCGCCGCCGCAAAGTCGGCACATGAACTGCCGCTACAAACATCGCAAAATGATACCAACCGAACGTAATTTTGGCCATGGATATCAACTATATCAAATATAATCGTAGCAATATCATATGTGTAAGAGTCAAAGAGACCTATGACATTTTCTACAATTAGTAAACATTAAGTTGTTAGGATGCTCTTGTTGCGTGCAATGAGCCAGCGTTCAGACTGCCCTGCATTATCATTTGGACATTCTCAACCTCTTCAAGTCGGGCTGCGATATTAAATCGGTAACGTAAAGACGTATGCCACGCTTAGCGAGAAGTTGCGAAAAACGCAGCAGAGTCGGTTCACCTCCGGTATGACGGCATGTAATACTCCCCGTGCCATTGCAAAGGTGTGATATTATGTTGCGGTCCAATTCTAAGGCTACCACTTGTACGTCTGCCTGGCGAGCGAGGTCTTCCAGTTCACGTTCTGTCATCGACGGGTCAATGCACGACATACGCATGGTCACAATTTGCCACTCTGAGTTCGGTGGAAACACCGTCCGTAGACCTCCGATGATGGTCCTTTCAGTTGTAACTGGCTGCACGGGACGTGCGCTGTCATGGTTGGAATCACTTTCTTTATCATTTTGTTCCACCGATTGAGAGGCTACACCGCTACCTTCCGCAACAGACAAACGTTCAGATTTGGTTTGTGATAAATCATGTCCACTGTTATCTGTGTCGAAAAATATGCGGCAATGCCGCATGCTCCGTAACCTGTTTGCCTCGCATTCCGTCTTAGATGCGGTATCATCACGTGATGAGGAATCATCGGAGGGTTGCAAGGCGGCAAAACGATTATAGCGCGCATATTGCTCCCTCAGCTTTGTTTGTAATGACGTTGCAGCCTCAGAGCCTACTCCACTACCAGGCAGTCGAAGGGGTACTGTGTCGCCATACCTAAAATGCCTATTCCGTGTGACCAACTGAGTATTGGCATCTTCATATGTGTTGCTTTGAGGCGGACGAGGCGAGCTCTTGGGTCTATTGTGAAGAAGTAGGTTGCAGCGATCCGCAAATTCACGCGTGCAGCGAATGGAAGGGAGCCCTGCTGCCAAAAGAGTGCTGGGCTCTGGAGCTCTTCCATCATCACTACGCGACACTCGGCGTTGTCTTGGAAACGGTTGCGCAGAAATAGTGCGGCTGTCACCCCTTTTTCCACCCTGAGCTGTGTCCGAACACACAGCGCTGGTAGTGTCTCCTGGACCTCCGTTCTTTGATATTTCCAACATTTTAGCAATATATTTTGTTGTTTTGCGATTTTTCAATGAGTGTGTAACTTCTGGTTCAATCGTATCCGCTAGATGTGCAGCTTATCGGGGCTACCGGCGCACGAATCCAATTGCACCTACTGCCGGTATATCTCCAAATTTTTTGAGGTAAAATACTAGGAATATTAAAAGGGGCATGCTGGGCTCAATTACATGCCATACGATTTTGATACGACGTGCCTCCACTCTGATCTTGTCTAACTAGAGAGTAACCGTGACGAATGGTTAATGAGAACCTCGAAACCAATTATATACCAATGTTGAGATGCTACAAACGGTAGCTAGCGTATATATCTGACTCCCATTTTGCAGGGATATAGTTAATCCTGTTCACCATCTAGTCAAAATGGCGACAAGACCAGAGCATCTGGCCCCTCCTGAGATCGTAGGTCGCTTTATACGGGCTACACAAAACCATGCAGTACTATAACAGCGAGGAAGCCAGGCGATACACCGTCAACACTCACATACGTGACATCCAAATTTCGATGAGTCAGCGTGCCACGGAAATGTTATTACTGCCTGAGGTTAGATAAAAGAATGTTGAAAACATTTCACACAGGACGAATGTTGTCTCGTCCTAGATATCGGTTGTGGCAGTGGTCTAAGTGGCTCGGTCCTTAATGACCACAATAACTTCTGGATCGGAGTGGACATCAGTACCTTCATGCTGAGTAAGTGGCAGTACGCAACATGATACACATGCAGATGAGGCAATAAGCAACGGTTGTGATCAAGAGGGTGATATGATACTTGGCGATATTGGCGAAACGCTCAACTTCAAGCCCCAGAGCTTCGACGGAGCAATCAGTATCAGTGCTCTACAATGGCTATGTGTCGCCAATAAAAGCTCGCATGACCCGTACAAACGCCTCTTGACTTTTTTCAAGTGGCTATATCGCAGTCTAAATTACGGTGCACGAGCGGCGATACAGTTCTACCCCGAGAACGCAGAACAAATCGAAATGATTACATCGGCAGCCACTAGGTGCAGCTTTGGCGGAGGTTTGGTTGTTGACTTTCCTGAATCCGCAAAGGCGAAGAAGTTGGTTCACTTTACTTTGCCACAAAACAGTACGCAGATACTATCTCTGTATATGGGCAGGTATGACGGGTATACCGCAGAAGATGCCTCAGGCAATCGTTGAAGAATATTCAGAAGAAGAGACGGTACCCACCGTCGGCGCAAATCAGCGCAGGGGGAAAAGAAAGAAGAAACAGGAGACTATACGTCAACGTATCATCAATAAGAAACAACAGCAACGCAAGAGAGTAAGCCACGTCTACTTCATGATCATGGAATTTGCAGGGAATAGACACGAGACCCGATACCAAATACACAGGTCGCCCCAGGCCGTCACGTTTCTAACATTGATTCTAATTATGTCACTGAGACTTTTTGTTCGCCTTAGAAGGCGATGGATTCCTAAGCACTAGCAACTGAGGCAGGTGGCGCCACCCAGCAGGGCTCTGAGAAACCATATGTCGAGCATAGATTTTATTAAACTCACTAGGTCGCTGGTTGTGCCAATGATATCGCATTGTGCAACGTTTTTGAGGAAGTAGTGTGTCATAAGCTGAGAATTGTGACACATTATATTGGGCACTAACTGTTAAATTTGTGCGAACGGCGCAGCGTGTCTTGTCGCCGAGGTATACTGCAACATATGGTGTTTTGCGATCATTACGTACCCAATGATGTGTATTTCAAGTTCTTCTCATCCGGATTCGCATCTCTGTAAGGGTGGAATCGTCGGAACACGTCCACAAGGCGTCTGGTTATCGTTAGCATACCGTATAATGATTCTTACCCTGCCAACATGATCCACCTGAGGCCTTCACGGTCAGCAGGTCTACAACCTGGGTATCCGGTGTTATCCTTCGCAAATGATGGTTGGAGATGTCTACATAACATACCGATCGATGAAGGACTGGTGAATTTTCTAATTTAAGTTTTCCCGCATCGGATAGATCAATGTCCTCCGGAGCGCTATTGAGACAGTAAAAAATTATATGGATTCAACTTACCAGTTTAGATTGCCACACAGAATTACAGCCTTAGTGTCTGCATTACGTATGTAAAATGATGCTGTATGTAACTCACCTTTCAAATCATAGAGCAAATGAGCAAGATCGCGGTGCCACAGTTGACGTTGCTTGACGCTGGCTGTGTCCCACCCATTAGCAGGCGACATCCTTTACTTCATATACTAGAATGATATCTTAAACTTACACGCATAACAAGTTGAAACTTTTGAACTGCAGCAAAATGGATCTCCCCTCCTGCGGTTGACCATGTATTACTTGGTGTCTGTGCCTACCGGGTGGTGGTACTTGGGGTTAAGTCTCGTGTTAAGGCAAAATCTCTCAGTTATACACTAGAAAATCATTGTAGCTAGTTGAAAAAACCTACATGGAACTTGTTTTTAACAAAAACTAGTTGCCCGCCAATTCTCCAACATGCCAGGGAGTGGACCAAACGGTAACGCTTGAAGAGTCCACGTTTCAAATCCTCAATGAGCCGTCCATCTTGTAACTGTTGTTCATAAGGTAGTTTAACAGCCCTTCCATCGCCTTTTTCTTGTATTTTGGGGCAGTGCCCTGCATATTCTGGGTCATGAATTTTTTAGGGCATACCAGTAATCGGTGATTCCACAAGCTTTACGTTTTGTATCACCACGATATCCTGTGACAAGTTATAACACCATGCATTGAACTTACAGGCTTTAGGGCCTTCACTAGTTCCACGAAACCATCCCACACTATCCTGCGGTGTATGATCTCTTGGAGCCCTGATGAATTCCATGTCAATATAGTGCGTGGGTCATCTTTGTCCAGAACGTCGATATATCCTTCCCTTGGCTGAAACTCCTCTCCAGATACCTCTGACATCATCTCTTGAGATTCTACACCTTCAGGTTCCACATCGTCGTCAACTAGAAGCGGATTCACCTGGTCCGCCGCATCTGAGACATCTGGTTATAAAACTACCAATCTTACCATAATCTTCATCGACAGTTGTAAAGTCGGTTCGTATCGATCCTTCTGATACACTTGGGATCTGATTTTCTGTTGCATTTATACTGGAATCTTCGGCCTTCTGGCGATGGACCATCTTAGATTCTCCATCGTGACATTCTTGGTCTAAGGTGTTTACCTCTGCGTCAATTCTTTCCACATGGATAGTTACTTCTTCTTTCTCAACGGGGAACTCAAGTGTATCGGTCGCAGCATCCGAAAGGTCCAGCACATTAGTTTTTGTGGCAACGTCAATTCGTCCGTACAGGTCATCGGCCATAATTTCTGTGGAAACATCTGTTGCGGCAGCTCGTGGGTCATCAGTTTGCACTGCGACCTCAATTTTTTCCGGTGGAACTACGACATCGATTGCCTTTATCTCAACTACGATGGTGCATTTGTCCACTGGGAACCGTTCCTGTAGCAGCCGCAATTCTACCGCATCTGACATCGTTATATGGTTAGGGTCTCGGTGCAACTAGTTGTTAAGGACTATCAAAATACGTAAGGCTAAAGCAAAGAATATGGTTAACATGTAAAATTGTCGTACGGCTGGTGATACTAGAGTCCAGTGGTATCTTGGCGAATAATTTTTTTCATAACGAAATCTTATGAGACAAGTTTCACAGTATCTGACGTGGGCCATAAAACGAGGATTTATGTTTCTTATAGACATTAAACAGTGATCTCATAAGGCGCCTGGGCATTGCAATTATAATTCACTGCGTTGGCGATCTGGTGATGCCAGTTGTGACCAAATCGGTCATTTCAGATTTGCAAATTGTCAACCCATTAGCACTATCATTGAGGCATAATACCGCCAATGTTGATTTAACTAAACCAAAATAAGTTACTCTAAAGCTCGTGAAGATAGAGAGGCTTAACCTTTGTAAAAGTTTGGTGATTCCACGACACATTGACCTATCAAATCAACTACTACGATTATTTTTGTGTTTTAATCGGTAGAATTCCTCGGCAGTGCCGATATACCACGTATAAGCCAGCGGTGTAGTGTCGCGGCACAGTCCTGCTCTAGCGCAGCTTAGGAACAAACCTGACCCGTCATGGCTGAGAATACCACATATAATATTTGAATTATCGCAAAATGGCAGCACGGGTCCAGCAGCAGCTCGAGGGCATGGTCCCCGAGTTGCGCAAACTAGTGGAATTACAGCTCTTCACAGACGGAGAGGCCCGCCAAATAGTGGAACGTAGACGAAAGTACGAGTATGCTATCATAAGTACGGATCCCGTGTATTCTCGCAACTCGTTCCGTGAGTGTATCAATTATGAAATTGAACTTGATCGGCTTCTACAACAGCGCTTGCGCAGGGCAAAGTCACAATCAGACAGGTTAGTTGTATTTAGTGGTTTCATGATCAATGATTATCAGTGCGGACGTCCGTTATCAGGTTAAATCAGATCATGGTAGCGTGCCTATTAAAGTTATAGTGAGGAGACGTATTCATCGCATATTCAACCGCTGTCTAAAACGTTTCCCTACGCATATAGAGCTATGGAAAGAGTACGGCGCCTTTTGCCACCGTATAAAGGCATTTGGCGTGATGAATAGAGCCATTATGAATGCTTTGGCTAAAAACCCTACCTGCGAGGCGTTATGGAAGATTGCAGCGAAGTATACGCTTACTCTCAAGGGCAGCCTTGCTGCACGCAGCGTTATACAGATGGCGCTACGTTCGAACCCACGTAGCTTGTCTCTGTTTGTTTTGCTACTGGAATTGGAGGTGCAGCTTGGCTACAAACTCTTCCAACACTCCGACTCCTCCAATGCCGAGGCTGGAGTGCTCCATGCTGACATTTCCACCAAAACATGGATCACAATAATACAGCACGCTATCAAAGCACTGAAAGGAGATGATATATTTAAGATGTTATTCTTTGGAGCTGCGATATGCGCGCGTGTTAGTCGTGTTTCAGATTTTGCCAAGGGGTTGAAAGGCTACGGTGACTTTGCCTCATTAGTGTTCACCGAGATGTTCAATAGGCGAACCGAATATCCATTGTTGGGTCTCTATGTATGGCAGCATCGATTACTGGAATCGCTTTTGATGCAGCGATGTGACTCGCCAAACTCTTCCTCTGGCCCTGATGCGGTGTTCGGCAGCATTGTGAAAGACTGCACGGAGAACCCAACCATGATGCCTCCTGTTTGCCGTTTTATATATGTCGTCACAACTTCCGAAGAGCCAACCACCGCCATCGAAGCAGAAGGCAACGGAGGGCCTGCATGGATAACCGATGTCGAAGGTTCGGCACATGATGCGGCGGATGTGGCACCTAAAAGTGTTGAAAGCACGCAATTTGATGGTTCTGAGGACGAAGTAGACCGTTATTGCTGTGGTATACATAGTCTCAAGGACATATGTCTATTAAGGTCAATATCCGAAGAGTATGATTCCTTGAGCCAGCGGTGCGAATTCGTGAAGGGCATGCTTTACCGCCACCAATTAATCGCTCTCAGAGGCAAGTACCGCAATTTCTTTTTACAAAAGATGCATTCGGCCGTAAGGGAGCTCGAATCTATCATTGCAGATTTAGGCAACAAGGACTTGGTGGTCACACTACTCGCCTCGCAAGATGATCTGTTGCGTCTTGTTGCAGGTCAGATAGCTGCCCAAAGAGGCCACACAATAAGTTTCAGCGGCTACAGTTTGTCCATAGAAATGTCAAGACATATCGCATCGGGGTCGTTTGTGCCTTTCGTCGAGGTATTAAAAAGCAGTATCCTGAAAACACTCGGTAGTACCGAGTTGAAGGAAGAGATTAAGTCCAGCATACTTATCCTATTTTTGGGGTGGGATAGTGTGGATGCCAACTGTAAACTTGAAGCGGTGCGTAAAAGTTCTGTAAATCTCACTCGTCACCAGCTGCTTGCCGGGGTTGACGCCGCAATGCGTTCCGTTGTAGATGACATCCAACTTGTCGACCTGGTAATCAGCCTTATGTCATCCAGCGAGCGTCTGCTTATAGATGATATTGCTTCAGATGGTACTGTGGTCAACTCTCTGTTCTCTGTTGTCGAGAAGCGGATACCAACCGTATCGGATTATCTAAGGAACCACCGTGTCAACCATTTGGGGCTACGTAACTTTGATCTATTGTCTATAGCCATCTCGATTTGGCAAGTTGGTTGTATCATGAGTAAATTGAAAACGAAGTTTACGAGTATAGGCTACAGTGAGTCTGTGAATGACACATGCGATATGGTATCTCCGGAGTATACCCAGTCTGTACGTGAGATGATTGACCTATGCGAGGCCATGGTGTCAGCCAGCAACTCTGTGAAAATTTCCGATACGCGAATTAGGCTTGCGTTTCGTAGCCGCTGCTGGCACCGCTACCTTCAGTGTGCCAAAGAACTTGAACAACTGCACACGACTATGCCGATTTTGAATTGGCACGAATTAAACTGTTCATCTGATTCAGTTGCGGCTCGTGCATATTCGCAATTGGGTACAGGCTTTGTGTCAACATTTGTGTAACTCAATTCACGGCGATTACCGCCAATTTGCCTTGTATGTATCTTGGTGCACAATTTTTTTTCTTTTTTCCTTGCGATCTGTCTGTGATTCTGCGATGGTACCCCGTTTTACTCCATCCACACCTGCTCTTTGCTCTCGCTTGGGTTCTACCATTTTAAAAGCCTGCAGCTTGAAGTCCTTGGTTGTGACCTTGCCCTACCGAACTTTTGGGAGAGTATTGTTTATCCATACCTGGAAATTACGCCAACTGGAGACTCGCATGTCTCTTGTCTTATCCCATTCGACTTGATGTTTCAACTGTTGTTTCTCCAGTTCTACTTGTGCGGCAGCGAGCTGCATAGATTGTTTTATTCGGGATAAGGACGTACTTGTTTTTCGTACTCCATGTTTGCCCTTACGCAACGTTCGGCATATTCACGACGTTCTTGTTGTTTGCAGAGCATAGCATCACATTCTCTTTGTATTTCGTTTTCGATTTCTTGTATGTCGCTATCAAGCACCCCTGCTGCGATAAGGTCCAGCGTAGTGGCGTTGGGATTAGCCTTGTGACGTTTGTATACAACCTTTTTAGCCTCTTCATAGACTTGTTTATACTTTTCCTTTGAATCGGATTGCTGTATCTCGTTGAATGCATTGAGCAAGACTGCGTGGGTTATGGGTGATAGGGTATGGTCACCAACCGTTGAATGCGTCCTGGGCCTTTTCGTGTTTGAACTTATCTGGATGTATCAAAAGAGATATCTACAACAATGTTTTATCTACTCGTTATGTTTTACCTTGCGATAACGCTTCTTGATTTCATCTTCCGTGGCGTTGTGTTTGAGCTGCAGGACTTGGTATGGGCTCGCGAAGCTTTGCGAAGTGAGCCTTAAGCAAAGCTCTTTGGCGCTTAAAGTTAAGATGTCGGCATCGCTCTTTGCCTTGTCTGAGAACATTTTAACCGCATTTTCGCCACTTACTTATGGACTCGATTTCTGAGAAGAAGAAATTGAGGATTTCATCCTCATTGCCGGCTTTTTCGCCATCCTCTGCCATGTTACTATTTAATATGGCTATAATTGACCGTCTATATCTATGTTACATCGGACACTTCTGGGATTATCCAACTGCTTGCGGCACTGCTTGGGATATAGTACAACATTGGAAACAATGACTGTTGTAGGTTACACATCTATGTGAAATACGATCCTTCAGCTATGTTTATGACAGAGCGCTAGCCTGGCATTCCTTTAGCCTAGGCAGCAGACTGTGCACTTTCGGCAGGATTGGTCTGACACGGGCCTTAGCGAATGGCAGCCAATAGAGTCAGTAGCAGTCACCTTCTTCCGGCTGAGGTAGTCTCCGGTTTGCTGGCGCAGCCATGTGACGGCGTATATCTACGAGTACGGCTTCTATTGAGCTACTTGGCCTCCAGTTCTTGAGCACTGGGAAATAATCTGGCATGACCTAACATTGTATACAATTCAATAATAACTATAACTTACATTGCCTGACTGGTCTACACCGGGCAGATTAATACGAGTGATGAACTTTACTACCGGTGGTACATCTGGGTATTGCTCTCCGCAATAAACTTCTAGGCAGTATATCCTGTTCTCGAACGCGGTCTGTAATCTTTATATGTTCATTAGAGCATACCTACGCCAGGATATCCTAGTATTGTGCATGACCAGTTTGAAAGGGTGATGTCGTCCGGGCGCTCCAATCCAAAGGAGACCCATTCGCTTACTGATCCCTTTTGGCCACGTTCCAGTTCGTCGAGCAATTTAAAGCTCCTTGGAACCTTAACCTGGGAAAGTTGTGATTTTTTTGCGGCAAACGCACCTCATCCATGTTTAGGCTGTATATCTGCTACACACTATGAAGCCCCCAATCCTTATCTACAGTGCTAAAGGTGTCAAAGTTTCTAAACATATAATAAACAGTTGAATCAATAGTTCAGATGTGCGTTGTTACAATCACTGGTTATTGAGGGGTGCGTGGTAGCTTCATAGACTCGCGGCGCCTCACCAGGACACACCACAGCTGTGAATGTGATGTACATATTTCGTTTTAACATTGGTCCAATGCAAGAAGGCGTTGCTGTTGTTGACGCCTACATACGTTTTCGGCATTGGTTGAGCTTGAGCGATAACGCTCGCTAAGCAGTGGCACGACGTCATTAACCAAAGAAAGCTTCCTCAAAAAGGGCAACAATAGCACCAATTCTCGGTCGCTACGGTTGTCATGCCACGAAGATATTGGTATGGCATTGTTCGGCTGTAGATAATACGACGCAGGTGTGTTGTCGATAATAACAATATCTTTCGGATCACGGTCGAATATTTCCAGATCCTTGATATAACAGCCATTCCACAAAGTACAACAATTGCGAAATAGGCGTCCATGTATGCGCCTTTCGCAATCTATTATGTCTATAACGGGGTTTGCATAATCGGCTGTTGCCGCAGTGAAGATGACGACCTCGAACATACGTGTAGTTGCCGCGATGAACTCGCGTGCGAAAGGTCTCAAGTTTACATAAACATATTTTCTTTTGAATTCGCCATTAAGAGCTAGTGTGACATCGTGCTTGCCCATCTTTTCGAACGACGAATGCACAAGTGTTTCGTCAAGGTCAAGAACAAGTGTCTTCTTCTGCGTCACTATGAAAAAACAGGCATAGAATAGCTTACCCTAGGCGTTTCATTATTCCCACAAGGCGCTTTCGGCAAGGGAATTTTAGTTGAGTGGCTACTTTCACTGGGTAAGTTTTGCTCGTGTTGGCAGTCCACGGTCGGACAACCATCTATAAGTTTACAGCACCTCCCAGTTGCCATTTTGCAATCAGTGTTGCCACTCACGTATTTTAAAGTTGTAATTAATCTCCGAAGGCTCTCTCGCCTACCTGCTCCAATTCCCATCTCACCAACATCACTATCCACCTATCCCAAAACTACAACACAAAACCACGAACCACAAAAACTTAACAAACAAGCACTTCCTCAGGGTATATCCTGCCGAGTGCTTGATCCTTTTGAAGTCAAAATGGTATGCGAGCAGTGTATGAGCCCTTGATACTTGTCGAATGATAATTCACATTCGACTGGGATTTGGTCAAGCAGCATCGCGTGACCAACTACATTAAAAGACAATTGCCTGAAGTCTAGCTCTACAACAGCTGTTGCATATAGAACCTCGTGGACAATGGTCACATGTATATATAAATCTCGTAGAACGGCGGTGACAGTTTTGCCCAACTACTACAGCAAGAAAGGCATACTAACCACAGTCTCCGACAAATACCTGCAGAGAATTTATAAACACAATCAGCGTTATTTTACGCCGGTGAAATCAGCGACATCAGTGCCAACGCTGTGGCCACCATGCACTGTATAGGACTTAACTTGTGGAAAACAGAGCGGTATAATCTGCTCCGTGGTAACTTCCACATCAATTCTTTTATGTGTACACTTGATTTATCCAAACCTTACTTGGCAGTTGCAATTTCGCGTGCCAAAGTGCCCATGCAACAACGGTGCTTAAGTTCCGAACTTGATAGCGCCTAACAAACCGTTACTAACCGATTGCTTTTTAATATAAAGCATTAACAATTCCAATATACTGCATTTAGCGGTGTTTCACGTGAACCTGATTGAATCCACGCGTCTCTTCACTAAACCTAATGTCGCGCCTGCAGTGATTGCTCCTGGCGTTATTGACAGTTTATTGGTAGCGTCCTTCCTATCTTGTTATATGTAGAATTTCTTAATATTTAAGTTGCAGCTTTTTAGTTTTTGTGGTTTGAGGTTTTGCGGGGATGTCCATTCACCCCCTCCCCGCCTATATAGGGTGGTGCAAAACGGAATCCTGGCATATTCGTCCTCCTAACACATCCTTCCGTCAGCTACACATTTTAATATGTGTTACCTCCTGTGGTAGCACACCTCACTCTCAGGGTGGGAGAGGGATGTGTCCCCGTGCCCCGTAATATAGAATAGGTCTCTATAATATTCTCAGAGTCGCCTTCCACCATCTCTGAAACTTCTAACAGACAAAGAAATCTGTCTATGACCTCAGGTGGGAGGCATTATCGCAACGTGGCGTCCCGGTTTGGTTGGGATCAGGTTCATCAGCCTTCCGATTAAGCGTTAACGCTTATCATTCAAACCTTCTTACACCATCTAGGGCGTCTGTGCTGTTCCAAAATGTCGCGCCAAACATCGCTCATCAACCGGCCGGAAACGGCCGATATGATGGAATTGGGTCAAGGCGTGAAGAAGTAAGTTGGATATAATGCTTTGAATCATAGTGATTTGAATCGTGATTTCCCTGCGGAATGTCACTGAAACACAAAGGTTGTGAAACGTGAACGCCAATTATATGATTGTGTTTCGTATTATGCCTGTCCACTAACATCTATATGAACTAAACACATTCACAGGGTCGAATGGGTGACAGATTCGAGATCGCCGTTATGCGGCACTTTTATTGTCTATTTGGAGGATCACACATTTGGTACGCTCATTAGATCGTAGGTTACGGCATGTAATGTCACATTTTCTTCAGCCGACTTAGTAAAGATGAGCGCGTTGCCTTCGTCGGATACAGGGTACCGCATCCACTTGAAAACAAGTTAGAGATAAGGCTTCGTTGCAAGGTAGACAGCCCATTCACAGTGATGCTGAATGCTATATCCAGCGTCAGACTCAATGTGTCACATTTGAAGAAGGTTTACTTGGTTAGTTATGTGTTTCTTGGAAATTTTCAACGTGTTTTAGTCGGCACTACGTGAGAAAAGTGGCAGTACGTAGCCAATTGGCTACTCTGCGTGTGTTACCACTTCGTAATTATCTGTTGCAAAATGTAGTTGTCTGCAACATCGCGCTGGCTTACACCTGATGGTGTGTCCCACACCACTGCGCTTAACTGTAGCTTAACACACTATATCGCTATATATTTGTATGCCCACAATAGCGTGGTTTTAATATGTCAAAGACTTTAGATGTGACCACAAGCGTTGCGCCGCTCGCTGTGCACGCCAGGTAAGGTTATGCGAACGACGTCGTGACTCCTCCGTGAGCAATTTGTCTAGAGCCTTTCTCAGCTATCAATGCTAATTCTTTTCATGTGATTCACAGGTGTGTGACAATAACACGCGGTTTGGAGCTGTGCTGCCTGCAATCACTGCATACGAAGACGGGTGTAGACCCCGAAGCATGGAAGGTCTGCATCAACCCTCAAGTGGAGCCGAAGATACAGAGCAGTCATATCACTGCATTGGATGTGTGTGAAGCGCCACGTACCTTGAGCAATTACCGTTTCGTAGTAGTTGTGGGCTATGCTAGCGGTGTTATCTGCCTCGCCGGGGTGGGCAGTGATGGTGTATTTCACATAATATCTCACAACGACAAAAATAACAGTCAGGTGCTACATGTGGAGGTACATCTCGATTCGAAAGCTGACACTATTGGACGCCCGGCGCTCCATAGCTTTGCGCTGCTGGAAGGCGGTACCATAATCCGCTTCGCTTGGGATAACCTGCAGCAGACTAACATAGAGTGGTAGGCGTTTTATTCTACAGATGCATGTTGACGTAGCGGAGAGGGCATAGTTGGGATCCGAGCAAGCTTCATGCACTCACTGATTGTACAATATGCCGCTGATCGCATGGTACTCAAGGCACTGGACACAGACACCGCCATCAAAACTTTCGAGAAAGTCGGTAGCGACAAATGGAACCAGAATGCTATATGCTTTCATCCGCAAAAACCACTTATCGCATTTGCTGGTGACAGTGCGGTACGCTACACTGCTGCGCCTCGCTGGGAGACTTATGAGTTCGGCCGCGGTGCTGTGCACACGGAGGCCATATCATGTCTACATTTCATTATGTTAAGCGATATGGTAGCATTAATGACGGCAAGTTCCGACAAAATTGCAGTATGGGACTTCGATTCCCAAACAGTATTGTATTCTCGGCCAGGCCGTCAATTCAGGGTCTGCACTCTAACTGATGTCGGAGAAAAAGAGGTCACTCTGGCCATAATTGGCGACTTAAACAGCAGTGGTAAGTCCGCATATGTCGATATAAAATGGCTGCAGAACCATGGCAAGTAACCCGGCTGTCTCTTCCCGCTGATGACCGCATGGTGGAGATCGGTGTAAAGCGTCCTGCCGCAGCAAGCGGACAAACAGAACGTTCTGGAATGACCAACAACAAGCGTTTGAGGAGAATGGTAGATGTAGAGGCTGAGGATGCAGGTGACAATGAGCAAGAAGATGGATTTTTCGATGGCATTGATGCCATAGATGTTGAACCTGAGAAATGGGAGACACCAAGATCTGAATCTGGAGATAGGCGCCACAACGACGACGTGCTAAATATGTTGAACGATGAGGCCAGCATAACTTTAATGGACGATCTGGAACGACTTAAACGCCGCGTTGCCCAACTCGAGAAACGGTCGGAAAAGAGGTACCCTCTCACACCTGGAGCTTGCCCTCCACCTGCAGATGAATCATCGCAATGGTAACTTTAGACACTGCGCCAGATTAAATCACACAGGTTAATGTACTGGGATGATGTGGGACAGATAACTAAACAAGGTTCTGACGACTCGAGTACCTTACATGTACATCTTTTCTCGGGCCCTAATGCAGGTTATATACAAAGGCACGACCGCCACAACTGTCATACTGCAGCACTATCACCGCGTTCACTGGTAACTGGTAGTGATGTAATGTTCGCTGGAGCTCCACATGGTTTGGTGACCTTTAACAACCTTACCACTAACGAGATTTGGGAACGTAGGCTGAAGAACGATGCAATAGCCGCTGTTGCCGTGGCAGATGACTTTGTGGCGGCACTGGGTAACGGTGTACTCTATTTGTTCTCGGTTGCTGGTAGTGTATTAGGAGTTTACCAACTCAAGGGTGAAGCTGTAGGTATAGCCGCAAAAGGCAACTTGCTGGCGGTAATCTCTGATTGTTCAAGTTATCAACGCTCATCATCCCTTTATTCGATACGATTGCTGTGGGTAAACGGCTTGCGAGGTCTAGCGCGCAACTCTCTTAATCGAGTTGTTGATCTTTATGACGATTTGCTGGTACTACCATCGGGTCGTCATGTTGCATGGCTCAGCATTTCCGATCAGTTGAACCTGTGGATAGCCGATTCTTCTGGTAGGTCTTACCGCATATTGATTGGATATAACCGTTATGTAGGCCAGTTACTCTCTCTGGTACCAGCAATGGCGAGTTTCCACAAACTAGGGGGTGTCTCGTTTGAATGGGTACCATCTCTCCACCTTGCCGATTTGCTACCTGATGCTACTCATGATGAACCTCGTAAGCACATCAAGGCGTTTCCTCTTTATGTGAACGACCAGAAGGTATGTTTACCTTTGAGTGTATCCTTTCATCCTTGGCAGCTGTGCTACGTCCGTCTTAAGGACAACGAGCGGTACCCACATAGCCACGCTCCAGTAAACTTTTTAGGGTACACCTTACGCAAGGCTCCATTGCGTATCGAATGCGCAAGCGGTGCATATATGCCGTTCAGCCAATTCCACTCGGTGATGACACGCGACCCTAAGCTGAAGGAAGTGTCGGCGTCAGGTGTAGTGGAAGACGTCGCTGCTATACCATGGCAGCAGTACGACGAGATGCGTCACTCTTTGACACTACAGGGTGCACAACTTGAGTTATTGATGCAGCTACAACAGGCCTATGGTTTCTGGTTCCGCGATGCTGAGCGTGTTACTCAGAAGGCGGCGACATCCATGGGTAACGTAGAGCTCGTGCACGACAAATGGCTTTTGCGTATGTTACGTAAAGTTAAGGGTCAGCGCCAGGTTAGTTTTCGTAACACAACAATCCACATACTGCAGGACGGGAATGTTTTGTTTGATGTTTTGCGAATGATACGCTTCCAAAGGTGCCTTGACACTGCCGCGGACATCCTTGCAGATCAAATGGACAGTCGTCAGAGGTGGGTGTACCTTGCTTTTATCGTCCATTTTGCGCAGGAAGGTACTGCAAGATGCTTCCATGTTACTTGCCGGTGTCCCTTCACGTGAACTTTTTGCGTCTCACGATCAACAAGTACAAGAAAACCAACCGTCTGCGCGGTCGTCGGAGGTTGATCGTACCTCTGGTCTTAGTGTTAATGAGGTCAGCGTAGTCCGCGCTCCCGCGGACACTGTGAAAGATCTAGCAGCTGCGATGTCGAACGTTGTCCCTCAGCCTCAAACCACCACAGCATCGAAGGCTGCAGGGCGGCCTGTTCCGGGTTTTGTGCCTGTGCAGAACGACAACAAGGAACCTGACAACTGGATGGAGCAGGTTTTCAAATCATAAAGTGACTATTAAGCGATATGTATTTACTCTATTGATTTATAAAAAGTTTTGATTTAAAACCCTCCGGAGCATACTGTTATAAAACAATCTCTAGGGTGATCCGAATACTGTAATATGCAGGATCAGTATGTTTCCTGTTAAGCTGCAGTTTTCCAAGACATTTATTGCAATGCGATTATAAATAACGCAGTCAATTTCTACAACGTTCATGTGGTTTCTGCTGTTACATCACTTGACACATTGTCATCGTCTATCATGCCTAGGCACTCTTCTGGAACCCATCCAGGAGGCGGAAGTACTTTGAACGACTTCTTTTTCTTTAAAAACTGTTTAGCATAAGCCTTCGGCCCATACGTAGCTTCACGTTCCGCCTTACGTTTAAGGAGCCGTTCTCGCCGTGTTTTGCATCTTTCCGCGGGATCCAGCGGTCGTCCCCTCTCACGGAACCTCCTTCTCTTAGACGAGTTAGCGGTTCGGTAGTACGGAGTATAAACATCATATGGCGATTTACGTTCTGCCTTGTCAATTCGTGAGTAGTACTCTCCGTGTACTTTGAATCCATCGGGTTTGACAACGAAGCTTTTCCCGCCGCCCATATTTACAACGATATGTTCCTTGATCCCGTGTTTCTCGTATAGCTCAGCCTCCTCTCGTCGTTGCAGTTCCTTTATTTCTTTCCATGACAAGCGTCTTCGGTACTCTTCCGGTTTGTCAAGTCCTTGTTCAGCCGCCTTCTTTGCAAGCTCCCGCTTAGCTTCCGCAACACGCCCGTGATATGCCAAGAACCTGTTCATAAAGTATATGTATCTTGGGTCAGCTTTGTAGTGTTGATGTACATATGGCAGTATATGGTAGAAGCTTTCTAGTTTGCTGAATCGAAATTCGTTGAAAGAGCGTGCATAATTGATATAACGGCTACAAGGGCCATTTGGCATCTTTTTGCCTGACGCATACCAGAAAAACCTCAGTTTGTTATCCTTTTTGTAATGTTTGAATATATTTCGTGTACATGGCGGTTTGGTAGCGAGTTCCCGGTCATATTTAAAGTTGGTGTTGTCTGGATCGTTTTCGTGCAAGAATCGATGTATCACATATAGAGGGTGTTTATCCTTGTACATATCAAAGTAAATCTTGCTACGTACTTCACCCTTTTGTTTCACACGCTCTGCATTGTATTTATAACCGAAAACAACCTTCCTTGTCATTCCCAGAAGCTGCGGTCTCGCAGCACCGTGGAACAGCACCCTGGGCTGAGAGCTAATAAAGGCGCCATATCGTTGTTCCACAGTAGGAGACCTTCTAGATTCCAGTTTAATGTGATAAGAGGTTGTTTTACCTGTACCAATATGAATCCACAATAGTATGTCGCCAGGGTTGATATCTGTGTCCAAAGTACATTATGTTTTAATGGACTAGCAACCATGTAGCGAATTATCATAAATACACGTACATGATGTGTTTCTAACTTGCTCTCACAATTTTCTCGTCCTTAAATTAGCTAAACAACTTACCAATAGAGCTGGAGATAGCGACAATGGGTACAAAACCTCCCAGCGATATGCCGCAAACAAGACCCGTACAAAGTCTAATGATATAGTGCCACACACCTTTCATCACATCTTTAAGCGGCAGCTGCCGGAAGACCGGCAGAATCCTGCCGAGTGCCCTTTGTCTGATTACAACGAGCGCCCGAGGTGGACCCTTCTCCACGTCAGATAATTCATTGAGTACGTATAAAAGACATCAATATATATATAACGACTATTCTATTGCCGCGCAGGCATTATGGGAGCCCTTCCATCAGTATTTCCCTCGCGTGTTATTCCACCATCTACAAACAGACTACACAAGTGTTAACGCTATATCACTGTTCAAAATAACTTTTTGATTTGCAAATATTCACACCTCAAATGCGAATTGTTAGTTTGCAATATAGCGCAAGCACATTTATCACTTACACATCGCCGGATCGATGTCACCATGTCTAACTTCCCTGGTGGTTCAACAAGATAGATGAGACTTATGGATAAAAGACCCATGCGTATACGTTATGCTACTATTATTAATGGATATCAGCTTTCCTTTTTATTTTTTAAGTACTCTTCTCTTCTAAGTAGTAAGGCTTCTCTTCTTTTTAAATTAGAGTCCTCTCTTATCCTTCTTAGTCTTTCCACCCCGGCGGCGTACGCAATAATCGATTTATCGTATTGAAATCTCATAAGTGCTTGTAGACAGTCTGGCACTTTAACACGTTCCTTCAACTCGATCAATGTATTAACCATCAAGTGTGACCTTTCTCCAAACGGCTTGGGATGCGCCAGGAATAGGCGATCACTTATAGACTCTAGTTCATACAGGAGCATTATAACATCGAGCTCCCAACTGTTGAAACAGGTGCGTATGTTAGCTATTGACCCATAAGAATCGTCGTGATGGCATTGGTCCACTTCCTGTTTCACAGCCTTGCCGTCGACGGACATGTAAAATATCGATCTGTCATACGTAGGCCGTGGGCTCGAATCGTAGTTCTCCAGTAGATTCACGGAAATGGCTGTTAATGCTTGCAGGTATTCAACCGCATCCTTGGCCACCGTTGTGAAATTCTCATTTATCTTTTTAAACCACTCTTGGAGGGACCACGCCGAAATACCGCAACCAAATTGACACTTAACATTGGATATTGCCTCTTCCACACGTTCCTTCAACGCTGTTATGCGTTTAAGATTGTCAAGGAGTGAAGGACGTCTGTACATAAGGCAGTGTTTCAGTTGCTTCATCGCTTTTGCCGTTTCCGCATCTGTGATCTTGTGATTTCCAATAGGAAACATTTTCGTCCAAAGTGACGATTTCTTCGATGATGTATACGCATATCGCCTTCGGTGTATTGCTGCAATTATTGTGAGTCGTCAAACAAACATAGTGTTTAATTAACTAACTTAATATAGTGAAGTCAACTTACTTATTATTTCATGTAAAGGAGCCTTGAATCCATTATCTGTAGCAACACATTCAAACCCTTGCGGTTGATCAGCGGCTTTATCGTCAGATAAATCTGGACTGGTAGCGAACCTCCTCAGCATTGGGTCATAGGACATACCATACTCACTTCCTGTACAGAGTCGCCCTGATGCAGGTACAACTGTAATAGTAAGTGATGCCATTGTCGTGGTTATGGGTCGTTCTGTATTTCCTTTTGGTAACAGTGATTTTATTTTACCTCCAGTAAGCGGTTTCAGGTATGACGCAACAATTTTCGGTTCCACATCCACAGGATCATCCGAACTATCAGATTCGGAACTATCATCCGCCGCATCGTATCTATTGCAATACTGGACTCTTGGTCTAGTAGCAGAAGGTGTCACACTACCATCGAGAGACATGGCAAGACGTAGCCTTTGGTAATAAGATTCCTTGCTCTCCTCACGACTCGTATCTTGGCTAGTTTCGCCTGCTTTCTCAATTGGAGGCACTACTTCTTCTTCCTTTTCAATTTTCTCGGTAGGTTCTTCGACCTTCGGTGTTTTCTTACCTGGTGATGATTTTATAAGTCCCCCCGTCATGGTTTCTAGAAATTGTAAGATTTTGCCTGTACACTACAAAATTTAAATAAGGTATGACATCATGGACTAACCTGTGATCGTTCTGATGATGTGGCTTTTTTGCTCTTTTTCTTTTTTATCTTCTTGTCCTTTGACAAATCGGTTTCATCGCCTGCTTCGTATTCCTCCTTTCCTTCCAGCGTTTTAGATTCATCAGGGTTGCCTCCTGCTTTAGATGTACTCGGTTGACATTGCATAAACGCTTCCATGGGTTTCGTTTCTGTTTTGGATTCCTTCGGTAGATCCGATCGAGTTACTTCAGCGGATTCTGTTCCTTTTATAGGTTGCTTCACCACTTCTGGCGCAGTGGATTCACTGGCTGCACCTCCTTTTTTGGAATGTTTTCCTAGTAGATTATCATCTTTCTTTTTCTTATTTACCGCATGGGTTTTTTCTGCCGTTTCTTGTCCATCCGGATTTGCCTGTTCAGAAGGGTTCTCCGGGCTCTTGTTTTTACGGTACAGAACAAGCTTCGGACCTTGGGAATATGATGGTACGATGTTCCATAATAGGAACGTAGCCATCAAAACAAAAATCTTCATGGTGTAGATTCAAATATCTAAAAACGTCAAACTTCGCTTTGGATTAGTTCTCCGCTTCACAATGTACTGGAATCTAATTTTTAAGATCCACTTCGAGGATATCACTATATATTTTAGTGTTGTGTGCAATGAAACATGTAAATGTTTTATTATACGGTCTACGTATGCAGGATGACTATAAAAGTTCAAACTGAATTTTGGTGACGTGCAACCGCAATTAGCAAATATAGAATGACCTAATAGTGCACGTAAACCATAAAGACTAGCCGCGATGAGCTGTGGTGCTCTTGCATTGCTTTGTCTGTTTCGCCTCAACGTGGCACTTTGCCACGCCGTTAGCATGCCTATGGGCAGATAGACGCCACATAGTCAACTTCTACAGGCTCGGATCTATCATCATTCACATTTTGGACTCAACGATGTACATGGTTCGTCAATTTATGCATTGATCATAATTTTAATGCCAACGTAATGCGCATGTTGACTCAGCTGTAAACTTCACATTTTACATTGCAACTTCTACGTCAACAGGACTCTAATATGGGACTTTGAGACTCAAAATATCATCTACCAGGGAATTGGAAAAGAGTCTTTCTGTCTCGCACTAAATGACACTACACAGGCATACACCTGCTACGTCGTCACACACAGTTAATGGTTCCCCGTTCTAAAATTGCAACCTTGTTGCGGCAGAGCTGGAGATTGCCGCAAATCGGTTCTATAAGACCATACACATTTAGTTTATTTAGAAATAATTTATTAAATGTGTCGTCGGCACTATTTGGCGCGCCAACTGGTGGCGTAACGGCGTCATACGACCGTCTTCCATGGCTACAGGTTCAATGGCGTCATTTTGCCGGCCGGCAACGCGGCCTAAAACGCCGCAAAAGTAAGAAGGAACCTCGGAGGATACAACAGGCCGTTGGCCGCCGTCTTGAGCTGTTCTACCCTAAGGGCGCAAGGAAGACTCGCGTAAGGCTGATTCAAAACTCACGCGGTAACGTAGTATTTGATCCGGTTTTGCGAAGATTTCTGGTCATTTACTACAAACAGGGGGTACAGGTGTTTCGACAATTTAGAGCTGTTGGATCTAAATTCGAAATAGCACGTTCCCGTGCGATTGCCTTTGCTAGACAGATGGCAACTGAACATCTTAGACGCTATAATGCCCGTCCAGGTGCAGTGGATGGGTCTGTGACCGATCCAATAGGCTCTAACTGGATAAACCTGGAGAACAAGCTTCAGCCTGATTGTAACCTAAGTGGCGTGCGTGGTGTTTTCTTTGATACCAAGACGAGTGCCTGGGCTGTTGCGTACAAGGATGCCGGTGTGAGAAAATATCGCCTCTTCCCTACTAGGGAGCTGGGATTTCAGAATTCGTATACACAGGCTGTCGACTTCCTGCGTTTTGCGCTCTACCGCAACCATCAATTCCTACACCGAAGGACACGTACTCGGAAGAATAGACCTATTTTAAAGCCTTAACATGAACACTTCCTTGTAATATTCATATATCGCCCGAACCCTAGTTCGGTCACCAAAAAACATGGTGACATAGCATCTAAATATAGTCATTGATAGTATTCATCTAAAAATGTATATCGTACAACATTACAACTAAGGTAATTGTTATTAGTTTACCAGGCGTGGCTGCTCACCGAACCGTTGGTGGTCCTGTAGTTGCTCTCATTGTGCGCATACACGTTGCCAATTTTGTACCATAAGCTTCTGGGCGCATAGCATAGCTTCACGCGCCACCTCACGGTCTCTACTACTGATGAGTTCCATAACTCTGTCTTTTACATGGAACTTTTGACAAATGGCTTTACCATTGTGATACAATCTGGCAAATTCGCCAAGGTCGAAACATGCGACGGCTACTGTGGTTGGATCATCAGTGGCATAGAGTAGTTTTACGACCTTAGAAATGACACTGAACTCATCTTGCTCAAATTGACCAAAGTTTACCGCCCAGAACTTCTCCGAATGTAATATGGACCATTTCAGCGCTCCTTTATCAACCTCCTTCACATATCGTTCAAAGTTGCTGATCTTTGACGTCTTGCTTTCCAGCACAGCGTGCAGTTGGTGAATGCTGTCATAAAGCTCGACATCACGCCATTTGTCATACTCCAGCAATGTGAGTGTTTGTGCGACATTTTTTTCTACGATAACCTCTAGGCATCTTGTGCTGTTGAATAGGTTTTTCAATAATCGGATGCATACACGAACTATTTTTTCAATTTTAGTAGTGCAGAAGAGATCGCAAAGAGCGTGGACAAATCCTTGGTCGTACATTTCTTCGACATGCTCTTCTTTACGGGAAAACTGCCAGAGGCAATAGGCCGCTTTATATTGCGCATTTGCAGCTACATCACTCTGCAGAGACGATTTGATGAGTTGTAGCGCATCTTGTTGTTGGAAAACAGGCAAACGATTACGCTCCTCCTCGAGTAAGTTTGCGACGGCATATAGTTTTGGTGCAGGGTCAATTTTTGCATCAAGTATGCAACGTAATGAGTTCATCATTTGTTCCATGGTGAACCTCTCGTGTCCATATGCTATAAAACCAGAGAGAAGAAATAATGTTTTTTCTACTATTTTCCTGTCACTCTCGTGTGTAGCGATATCGAAATATATCTCAAAAACATCTCTGTCATTCAGTGTTTCAAGCAGGAATGTATATGTCGATCCATCAACTCTGCATACGTCGCAAAGACGCTCAAGAGAGTAACCGCGCAGCAGTCCGGGTCCTGTAGCATATGTTGCGTTTAATAGTACTCGAGCAACAAGGTCATTTTCCCTTATGAAATCACATCGCTCCACAGAGTTAAGTCCCTCGAATCGCTTAAGCAATTCGGCAGATTGCTCGTCAAGAGCGCCGGAGCTGACCCATTCACCGAAGGTAGGGGTTACCGAATCATAGGTAGTCCCCTCCTTTTGCATCAGCCTATTGAGAGCTTCCGGCTCCATTTTTACGTAACATATATTGAATTTCCCTCCGATGTCTGGTGCCAGTTAGAAATGGAAGGCGCGCGCACGGCAATAGAAACAGCTTCACAACTGAAATACAATATACATGTTTTTACGCAAACATATGCCAATATAATAATTGAACCCTGCGTAGATGTAGAAGCTTAAAGTTATTGCTGAGTTTACAATGTCGCTAGCACACATCAACACGATCTGTAGTCGCACAAGCATGTATACAAGCCTAGATTACAGGGTATGTGGCGAATAGTGCCAGTTTAGGCAACCTGCTACAATATGGATGCTCAGTGTTGTCACTTTTCCGCGCCACAAGTTGTCCACAGTCTCGTAGTTAGCGTTAATATCATCGGGGACACAAATGGTCTTCTCACAATCTCTAATTGCGTAAAAGATCAGCTTTTCTTTTTGAAAGTTGACATTTTCTCCAGCTGATCCATGGAAATTGTATTCTTATCAGCAACCAGCTTCTCTATCTTACGCCACTCGGATCTGTTGCTTTTTGACTTCTTGTTGTTTTTATGCAGCTCATCGTCGCTGTCAACATCTCCAGCCAAAGGATAACATTCGTCGTAGCCATCTGTAGCAGCATTCCGCCGCTCACGCTGACCTAACGACTGTAGACGGCGTGCAGCATCATAAGTTTCATCAGCGCTGTCGTCACCTAGATGATGTGAAAATTTGCCACTTATACACTCACCAGAAGAATCGCCGAAATATTTCTCGTTATCGTGGAGTCGGGAAACTTCCCCTGTGTTCAATTCGTCACTTCTGTATTCGCCAGCATCAGCAAATATGTCGTCGGAATCGTCGCCAGACCCTCCATCGTTACTCGTTTTGGGTCTTGTGGTCAGCCTCTCCTCTTTGGGTTTCTTTCGGTTTTCTTGGTGCCATTCAAATGCCTCCGCAATTTCCTGAGAGAACGTAAATTGTACAAAATGCATTCCCACCCTCTTCAATTCAGGATCCAGATAAGCCAGCAAATCACCACCATCTACGGACCTTGCAGAACCCTCTGTGTCCTCATTAGACACAATAGTCAATGGCACGTCGTTAGCGGATGGCTCCATATTCAAGTCAAACTTGTAAAAAATATGCGTACCAACGGTGTTACGCTTCAGCTTGTATCCTTTACATATCAGGCTGTAGGTATTGAACAGACGATCTCGAAAATGACGATGGTGCATATGTGTATGGTACAGAAACGTCTTGTTTATATAACTACCCAATTCACTATGCCCAACCTCTGGCGCAGCTGCCTCTACCTCTTTCACGGTGGTGACCCTATTGTGGATTGGTAAGGTACAATTTCAACATACTTTGGCCCTAAGCTTCGTCGCACCTTCTCCAGAAGTACGTAATCCAGGCCTTTCACAAGATGAGTGTGCTCCTCATCGCCACCCTGAAAGTGGAATAACATTGGGCATTTGTATACTTACCATGTAACGGGATTCTTCTTCCGTCTGTCTTTTGAGCAGTGCGTGTTCCTCAATGACCCTTCGATAGTATTCATCTTTCAGTTGGCTTCTTTCAAATGCTCGATCACGATATTCACGCTCGGGACCTCGATCTGATTCCGAATCACGACGAGCAACCCTGCAAGCATATGGTTAATCTAATACGTCGACATACATAGCCTGCCGTCTTCTAGAATCCACCCTATCATGTTTGTTGCTGTTTAGTGGGTGAGATCCCTCGTTCTTGCGTCTATGTATCATTGGTTTTCAAAGAAAAAAAACAAACCTCCCGCCGGGAAGACGACCGCCGTTACCCATGGCGAGATGATTAGCAGACCTCTATATTTGCCTATCCACACTTCAATGTGTAAACAATTTGGTGATAGTCATCTGGGTAGTGTTAGATTACACCATTACGATTTTATAATCCTTCGGTCGCCACTCGAACCACATTACCCGCTACCAACATCTGTAGTTGAAAAAATAAAAATTTTTATATTTCACAGTCTATGGTAGAACGTTGCTCTATATTTGACGCTCGCGTCGTTACAGAACAGGGTTTCGCCGTGGGAAGGCTGATAGCAATATCGCCGTCGCTGTAACTGTTTTTTAAAACTTTCTGATGACAGTTTATATACATATTTGGAATGACGTATTTATGACCGGAAGTACGGAAGAAGTGGCAAATCTCTGACTAATCCCACTAGACACTTGTGCGACCTCTGCACATGGAAGACTTCTGTGACTCTTAAAGCGACGATATACACAACCACAGCTCCAAAAACGGCTAATAGGCGTGAAAGAAACATTCTCTGAGTTAATTAACCGCCAAAAGTGCCTAGTACTATGTGCCTTATTACGAAACAAGTAAGGATCAAGCACTCGGCTCCATTAGTGTATCGAGTTATAGGTTATATTGAGGTTTATACAAGATGATGATACCTCCACCGTTACATACAATACCGGTAGTGAGGCCTGTGCCTGCAAGGTACACGCAGAAGGTGGAAGCTGATCCTACCATTCCGCCCAACCAAACATTATATATAAACAACCTTAACGACCGCGTAAACGTAAAAGTATTAAAAGCCGCTTTGAGGGAGATGTTTGGCCGATTTGGCAAGATAATCGACATCGTGGCGCTAACCTCGTTCTGGCGAAAAGGACAAGCGTTTGTGGTATTCGATACAGTAGAAGCTGCACAAAATGCAATGAACCACATGCAAGGTTTTATGTTTCACGGGCATGCGATGCGTATCAACTTCGCCAGAGAAAAAAGTGATGCAGTTGCGAAAGCTGAAGGTACTTTTCAGCCGAGACCTGAGGGCCCCAAAAAACCTCGTGCAATAAAAGAACGCGAGGCGACACAACTTAAAATTTTTGAAAAACTCCAAAGTGATTATTTAGCTGGAACCTTGGAGGGTATGACGCAGCCTGGAGACCCCAAACTCATCCAAGCTTTACAGGCAGCACAAGCACGAATGAACAATATGACCCGGACTAAAGCCGCTGGAGCCGAGGTGCGCGGAGATGTTATGCATCATTACTCCACCACCGTCGGAGCCAGAGGGTTACCAAATCGCATTCTCTTTGTGGAGGGGCTGCCTGAAGGCGTTGGCGTTTCTGATGTCAATGCTATCTTTGCCAGTTCTCTTGGCTTCTTGGAGGCTAGGGTAATCGCATCTCGTAGGGTGGCATTCATAGATTTCGACAACGAGTTCAATGCCGGATACGCGATGCAGGCAGTCCAGGGGCATGTAATAGGAGATTCATCTCTCAGAATAAGCTACGCAAAACGCTAAACATATCACGGCAAATAAATTACATTTATGTCTACTGTTCATGATACTCCCCCCCGAAATATGCATACTACCGTGTTGGCACCGCTGCATCATCGATAAACTTGCCAGTATTATATACCATCACACAGTTGAAATTAGCAAAGGCCGCGGCGCGACGCACACTACCATAGGCAGATCGCACCACCTCAATACAAAAAGCATCCAACTAACAGCCAGATCCCTGGTACGTTGTTGTGTTGTTCGATATGGTGATAGGCCCTAGTCTTCTTATGATATACAGCACTCTATACGTTACTCATCTTCGACATCTGCAATATGCCTCGAAAGCGTTTGGCAGTTCTGTATACGTTCAACAAGCTCTGGAAGCCTGTCTCCGATAGTATTAACAGCGTTCTCCAATTCCTCTACCATGCGGGCCATGCGTGGCAAGGATAGAGCTAGCATCATCATTCTGTGCATTTGAGCTTTTGTAGCGAGGAAGTCCTTGATAGTCCTGGTCCATACTGGCGAATCAAATGATCCGGTAAAGTTCACAATACGTTCGTGAAATCGATGTAAATGAGTTCTGCCCGCCTCAGTAATTTCAAAAGTGTCACATATCGTTTTCAGATCATTCCAACGACTCAACACATGTCCGTATTCAGCGTCAATTTGACGCAAACATCTCGATCTAAGGAACGAAGGAGACGACAATCGATCGGCTGATAAACGTATCGTAACACTTTCGACAGCCTTGACAACATCGAGGTAACCGGACAGAGACTCATCCAAAGATCGGGCAGCAATAAACGACATATTAACTATTACATATTTCATGATTGCTATTGTCAAATTGGACTCAACCAGTGGAGGATTTATTCCCATTATATATAGCTGTTTATTCATATCCAATATAATCTCCAACAATGCGGTATAGGGTGCATCGTGTCTCTTCAATTCTCGTTTCAACTCTTTGTTGTATGAATCCATTCTTATTCGCGCCAGTTCGCCCGCACCCTCCTGTAGATCGAGCAGTTGTATCGAGTATTGATGAACGGAATTTTCACGGGTCCAACATTGGCCATTTATGGAACGAACAGAAGCAAGCAATGCCTCAAATGCCTCCGTATGTTCTCTCAAAGGATCATCGTATGCCAGCGATGCAGCATTATCTCTTCTTGTTTCTTCTCTCAAGCGACCGAACATTTCACACAAAAGGTGTTTTGCGTCGTCCAGGTGATTATAAAAAAGCCTATATTTGGACTTAGCCAATATCGGTCTATAAAAATCAACTTTTTGGTTAACTAACCAGTCGCCATTTACATCGTAGATATCGTTTTTTAGATGATCTATAAATTCCAGTACTGGAATCTTCATTCGTGATATTTGTAATTCCACTGTCTGCCTTTTCCTATCAGTCCAGATATGGTTGCTCATAATGTGTTGTATGACCAGGGTACCGATTCTGTATACCTTTAGGATTCTTGGTTCTAGCTCTGCTACGTCCAAGCCTCTAGATATCGATTCAGTTATGCCAGAAGCGTGACGTAGGAAACTCTTGTAATTATCAAGTTCACGATGCACTCTATATAACGACAAAATTGAAGCGAGATGATGTTTTGACCAACATAACACGTTACCATATGATCTAACATGATAAATTGGATCTAGAGGACATATGCTATCTGATAGATTTCGTAATTCTCTTTCTTGTATTCGTAACCATGCTTTAGCATCTCTTAAACTATATTTTATATCCAGTAGGGCCTTTCGCAATTCAGGCAAAGTGGATAACAGGTCCCCGGATACGAACTCCTTTCCATAATCGTTGGTTAAGGCGTCCAATAGATTAGTCGTTTGTATCGAATGCAGCTGGGATATCTCGGTTACTCTCAACAACTGTATTTTGTAATCATTGTCACGCATCGACACGATTTTGTTCATGGAAGCGGGAAGCGTCACATTCATCAATTCTTCAAACATTTCCTTTATAATTTCGTCGGGGTATTGCTTTGTGTCAGAGTTATCCCGAGCATCGTTAGCTATCAGCATTGTCATCATACTTTTTACAGCATCTACTGACTTTTGTATAGATTCCGCTGTGATTCGAGTATCATGTAGCAGTTTGTACAATGCTCTCTCCTCCTTCCTAGGTTCCAAACTCCCATACGAAGTACCCATACCTTCGAGTATCTGCAGGTCACTAGAATTCTCGGTATAACCCAAGATACTATTCATACCGTCCAACATCGTTTTGATTGATATTAGGTGTCGAAATAACGATTCGGAACTTATCACTTGATTATCCACTGAGTTTGTATTTTGTAGCAATCTATCCGCAGGATCCATACCCATAACCGACGAACCAATGGGTACTGATAAATTCCACAACACCGTTGCGATGGAACCCATTGCAATTGCAATAAGCATTCGACCTCGACAGACAGTAACCATTATTACAACTCTTCGTGTACACAAATTATAACATTTATGGACTTCTCAGATCAAATATAATAGTAACTCAAATATTCAACTTGGTACCGATGAACCCACCTGGTGTAGTTAGCTCATGTAAAAAAACAGACCGCCCTTGATTTAAATATTTCCAAGATTACACTAATATTTAATCCTTGGAGATACAAAGATAATGTAAATATTATCTTGAAGTAACAGCGATCCACTGGAGCCTTGGCTTGCTGTCCTTTTGCTGTTATAGTTTTAATCAGCTAGATGCTGCTTCCGTCCTAGATTATTAATTATTTAAAATTGCAATTTCGTTATGAAAAGAATGACGAATATGCGTTATCGTTACACGTTTGCAGACTCTGTTGTTGCAGCGACGAATTGCAGCAGAAACAAATTTCTTGCTGCCCTAGCTACATTATAACATGTCAACATGGTGTCATCTTTTACGATTTTTTCAACAAAAACGGACACACCTCGGTATTTACAATTGCTATAGCATTTTCAATTCAATAAAAATTTTTTGCATTTTTCTGACGACCATAAACATATAAGGGTAATATGACCGCTACAATATATATTTCTTTGAATATCACCAACGGTATCACCTGACGTTTTACATGTATTATGTATTAGCAACGTCATTATAT